AACTTTCAATCTTTTTTAACTTAAAGAACCAGGTTTTTCTCATTAACTCCAATATTAATGAAAATTTCAAAAAAATGACCTTTTTAAAGTATTGCCCAAAGAACAATTATTATTAGAAAAAGTGCTATACTTGATAATCTGAGTAAGCTTTCTGATAGAAAAAATGCACATTAAAAAAAAAAAATAACCATCATTGTAAAACCAATACATTCCTCGCTACACTTAGAATATAAAAATAACATCACAAAGATACGCACAGTATTTACCATAGAAACTGGTTTCTTAGTTCATTGTTAGATTGTTAGTGATTATATCGAAACTTAATTTAAAGATAAAGTGCCATTACCGGGAACATATTTTTTCGTTCAATACTGACACCGGATAAGCCGTGCGAGACAGCATAATACTAATGTTAATAACAATTATCATCTTGTTAACCAAATCAATAACCGTAACTACGTACCAGTAAGTATATGGACGGACGGACGGACACAACAGGAATATAAGATGTGTTTACATAATATATAGAAACTTAAAATGGACATTTTTTAGGTTAAATGGGATATTTTCGTGTTTCAACGAGCGTACAACGGAACACTAATTATTAGTTTAATAAAAGAAAGGACATTCATCTTTTAAAACGGGACATTTGGCATCCGGATATATTCATAATATAATGTAAATTATAGTACGTATTTTGGCATTTGTCCAATGCGCAACTCATACTTTCTATTCCAGATAATAATGTAAAAAAAAATAAATATATTAAGTTGCTTTTTTTCATTGCGTAGGTAAATATTGTACGAGTAATATTGTTGGTATTTATGCTGCAAATTTTTTCATGCCTATTAAATATAATGTGTAGCTTTTTGTGATAATAATAATATTATATTATAAAAAAGTTATAGTAGGCACCTACCAGTAGTGTATTTATGATATAGTTATTTTTTTGAGGGGGGGTATAGGGCAAGTATTAACACAATTAAAATGGCCAATTAAAAGTTCAATTATTTTCAGGCCCACTTATATTTTAGAAATTGTGTGAAAACTCCCTGACCCTCCCCCCCAATGGCACCTAAACTATATTTGTATGAAGTAGCAGAATTTAAAATACAAAACCACTACTCACCGGAAAAACAATTTTCTATCTTGTATGTTTATAACCATTCTATTAAACTATCCTAAATCCCAATTACTGGGAACACTTACCCACCCAAAATATGATAAATATTAACTGCTACACTCGATGTATAGTTTGGGTACCACTGCTCCTCCCCTGTAAATCTTCTGCTGAGCAGTAATCTTAGTCATTATTATACCACAATCAGACGCGAAGGAGCTTTGGTATTCCACCAAAATGTCCAAGAAAAAAATTTCCGGGATAAAATTGTTTGAAAAATTAAAAAATTAAACAACAAAGTAAAAATCATACAAAAATAATAATCATCCGTCGACCCACAGGAAAGTACAGTAAAATAATCCTGGAAAAATCAATATTTACGAATACACTGATCGGGGAAAAAACAATTTAAATATATTTTATTCATTTCAGTTTCTACCCGACTTGTTATTAAAAACAGATAACATTATGTCACGGATTTATTGTATTTTATTCATTACTCAATGATTTATAAACGCGTTTAATAACCTAACCGTGTAATAGTGACGAAGCACGGAGGAGCGAAATTAATGAAAAACCTATAGGATTAATTGGATATAAATTATACATCCCTTAACCAGTGGCATGCTCAGGAATTATTTATGGTAGGGGATGTAGCAAATAAGAATCTCGAATAAATTATAAATTCGTGTTCTCTGCCCAAATTGACTGTGGGATTTGGTAATTTAATAGCAAGATCTTAAATAAGGCCAATTTATAATCAATATGTCAAGTTTTTTTTTGTAGATTGGCCGAAATATATGCATTTTGACATTGAAAATCCCCCACTGCGCACGCCATTACTTTTGACGTAGATTATATTTTATTTCCTATTTTTATAATTAATCAATATATTTGGTACACATTTTTTTGTGTTATGTATGCTATATTATATTTTTATGTTATATTTATTTATTTTTTATAATAAAAATTATTTAGTTCACAATAGGTATTAATAAGTATTAAGTAATAAGTATTGCTCAGTGCGCTACACGCAAACAAAATATTCACCTTATTTATAAGAATATTTTATTGTTACGTCATTTCGGTATTAATTTCTCAGTAAAATCGTTTCATTCATGCGTATTTTTATTAATATTAAATATTACATCAATAATAATATTGTAGGTCAATTACCCGGTTAAATGACTCATTGGGTCGATCCCAACACTTTTGTTTTCTCCGGTGAATCGGATGAAAACGAAAAAGACCTATTTAATTTATAGCTTTTTATTAATAGAAAAAAAATATGCAATTTACATAAGCATTTTCAAATTGATAAAATTGCGAGTGATTTTTATTAATAATGAAATTAACGGTATAAATGATTCGAATAAACGATAAACTTATCGATTATCATTTATATTATTGGTATGCTTATAAAAATAATACACTAATTATTTACGATTTGGGTGTATACTGTTATAATGTTGTTGGTGTAGGTATACTTAACTTTTTATAAAATCTGTTTGATATTGCAAAATTTGATATTTTTAATATGGCCAGTACCTGCCCAATTTAAAAACAAAGCTAAACACGATCGCCTGATGTCCACAGGAAAATTGCAAATTTAATTAACCCATTTTATGCGCACGACTGAAGATAACAATATAAAATATCAATTATATCGAAGACAAATGAAGACTGTGGATTTTTATTAAATAATAGAAACTATTTCGTTTAAATTATTTCAATAATATTACCAAAAAAATGCTTTGGTGCTTTAAAAGAATGTATTAGGTACTAGTATGAATTTACAGTTGTAAACATTATCATGTTTTATGGAAAATATTGAGTGTAGCAAATCATTCTGTTATGGCTGCAACAACTGTTTAATGGAGTTTTTCGATATTAAATCGACTAAACAAGTTATTGAAGAATCAAGGAAAAAAATGTATATATTTTAAATGATCTAGTAATTACAACTTCAAGTCCTCTGAAACATTTTTAGTTGTGGTAAGACATATACAGGGTATCTTCCAGTGTTATTCTTATATTTATAATTCTGTTAATATCTATTTGTTTTTTTTTTTTAATCGGTTTTTGTGCGGGGACACATAATATGTAAAGGAACATTACATTTTTATTTTTATCTCTTAATTATTGAATACCAATTATTTTTTATTTATTCACTTTTCAATATTTTCAAAATAACATTATTTAAAAAATATTGTTCTAAAATAGTTAATGTAACAACATTCGTTCACATACGAACAATAGTTTCTCAATAATATCTGTTATAATTTCTAGAAAATTGGCGTGAAAAAAAATATTAATTTGCAATAGAATAACACGTTACGCGATAAGGAATGACAATCAGCACGGTAATTCCTTATCTTCTACTGAATATTAATTGGTTTCACTCTTATTTATTGTAGATTAAAACCATTATGTAAAATAAACACCACATTATAGATTAATGAATTTTAATTGGGTTTTTATTTTGTTTACATAAGATAATATGATATTTTCAACAAGTAATTCAGATCAAAGAATATTTGTTTACATCAAAAAAAAAAAAAAAACATTTTTCGGTTATTTTCATAAATCTTTTTTGGCACTCAACATAGACGGTAGTTAAATGATTCCCGTTGCATACTCGTATAAAATGTTTGAATGCATAAGATATATTACATTTCAATTTTATGAACCCGCCCTAACGTCCTGTAACCTTACTGTGAACTGTGGATGTACCTTTTAACCGGATTAGTTTCCTGCACTGTATCTATAGCACTTATAACTTTAAAAAATAAAAAATACAATAAATATATTCTTTGGATTACGGTCTGATAGTCTAGTAATAACTGTTTTGACGATTAATCGAATGACAAAATCACAAATTCGATATAATAACTCGGAACGTGCAAGTCCGACCGTGTATTTTTTTTACTTTCGATTGCAAAATATGTTATAAGGAAAATAATAATAGTATTATGAAATGAATTCCATGAACCATGATTCATAATCCATAATCCACGTCGACGCCACTAGAAAAATCTCACTTAATTCTTATTACTCACTACGTACTCAACTTATTTAACCGTACTCTTTTAATAAAAAAATAAAAAAATTGTATTTATTTTTCAGACCTCTCTTAACCAGCGGGAAGACTGGAAAAATGGCACAAAGCGTTGAACGGATAATTTAGGATGAAGAGATTGTGTACAAATGTTCATTCGGGTCACACAAATTCACATAATTCACAAACTAATTTTCAGTAAAAGAAGAATGCTTTACACTTAAGGGACCACAGAATATTTTTACAGCTCTCTCGAGTTTTAAGTTTTTTTGAATTTGTCTAAAATTCATTATCGCATAAATTCACAATAATTAATAGCAAAATATCAACGATTTTTCAACTTGGGTGTGGGAAGGGGTGGTGAAATGTACGTGGAATTTCCGATGATATGACAAAATTACAACTTACAATCCACTAATAACGGAAATATAAGAAATTTGTAATCCTTTTTTTTTTCTTAGGAAAATAATTTGTTTTTTAATAACCGGTAACGTAATGGGTGAGTTTGAAAGTTTTAAATACCTTAATATTTTTGTGTAAAAGAACGGTGGCTTTGACAAGGATGTGAAACTTGGGATTAAATGTGATTGGATAAAGTGGATAGAAACGTTAGGTAGATTGGATAGAAACACACACAAAAGTGCGGTGATACTATGCTGTATAGTTTAAAGTATTGGGTATAGACCGATAAATTGAACAGATAATAAGTGTAGCAGAAATAAGAATGCTTAGTTGATTGAGTGGAGTGACGAGAGAAGATAAAATAAGGAATAATTTACTCAGATAAAAGGTAACTTAGGCGTGACTTCGATTGCAAACGAAATGAGGGAAAATAGATTGAAATGGTTTGGGAATGTTAATAAGAGACAGGAATCTGATGCAATAAGAGTTGTAATGGAAATAAACGCAGGGAGAAATAGAGGGAGAGGAAGACCGAAAAATAGGCGGTTTGATGCAATTAAGAATGATATGATGTGAAAACTCCCGGTGTCCGCGAGATGAGGGATCGAGTCGAGTGGAAATTTAGTACGAGAGTGGCCGATGCCAAATAGTTGGGATGGAGGCGATGGAAAAGAAGGAGAAATAATAAATTGTGGTCAAACGAAAAATGCACGAGCACGGTATATCGTATCTCCCATTATATTCGAAGCCGGTCGTAAGTTGGAATATTGAAGCATATCGTTCTCAATGTTTCAACGATACTAACGATAATAATTGTAATATTAAATTATATTAGACAGAACGTCGACGACGACGTAGGTACGCGTGATCGAATCCGTGTGTCATCGTCCACGTCGTTTTTAATTGGCAATTTTTTTTTTTTTTTTTTTTTTTTTTTTTCAAATAACCCTTGGGTCCGCGAATTGTTCTTATCCGTATTATTATTATTATTATTTTTTTTTTCTTCCCTCGATCCGGCCGCCACTAATGAGCCGCTTCGGAATAGAATTTATAATTAATTTCCTAACCTCTGCTGCTGACGATCTCCGCGCTCGCGCTATCACTAATTGGACAGGCCTTCGCCGTCGCCGCCGACACACACACACACACGGTAATTGGGTGGAAATAATTCAACTTTTATAATATATGTTACTATATTTTTATTTTTTTTTTCCGCGTTCGTATATACAACCGCCACAGTACGACGACGACGATGTCCCGTCGAACGGTTGTTAAATAATGGCCTCACGCGGTCGGAGTTATCGGATATCGAAAAAATACGTATCCGATATTTTACGTTCGTATAATATTATGGACGTATAGCGTTTAGTGTGTGTGCGCGTGTATTGAATGAATATTAAAACTGATCGCCGACAGTTACCTTTATATACCTTTATACCCGTGTGTATAGAATCGACAGTGCCACGTCAATATTGTATCATTTTGTTACATTCGAATTTTATTACCGTATTACACCTAATATTACGGCAAATAATCGTTTATCTGCGAATATATATAATTAGGGCAAGTATATAGCGAAAAGAAACACAAATAAACGATTCACGACGTTAATTAATTTTAGATTGCAGTTTTCAAGGAAACATATTTTTAAGAAGACGTTATACCTGTATGTGTTGTCTCAATTCAACGAACGGGCAACATAATAAAATCTACCTTACGCGCACTGCGTAGAACTCGTTAATTTCGATTTCAGAATAAAGATACCTAGTGTACAATTAAAACAGGACAATATTCCGGGAAAAAAAATTATTCATTTTTTTTGAAATATTACAATCGTTTAAAAACGATGAATTAGTATTTATTTCTAAACAATGTAGTGATAGTTTTATTCGGAATAACAGGAAAAACGCATTGTTTTACCTTCCGGAATATTGTCCACTTCTACAAGCATAATATTTATTCAAATATATTGCGTATATTAAAATATATAGATAGTTTTCGTGCAGACAATTATTATAAGTATTGCGATAAATTTTGAAATTAAACGCAAAACTTTTCTTTACTATGTTTAAAATTACGTTTTAATTATTTATTGTTTTTAATCGTGGAGATTATTTATAATTTTTTTAATAAGATCGGGGTAACATATATATTATTATTCTAATTAAATTATTAATTCCCGGTTTTTCTATTACAATACCGTTATGGCTATTAAAGATAAGGCGAACGCTTTTGTTCACTAGATTCTACTCATTTTTACTAGATGTGATAGTGATAAATCGTGTTTACACACGATAAGTATTGTTAGTAAGTATACAGGGTGATTTTTAAATTTTTTTTTGTTTGGAAGGAGGGAGAATTTTGGGTGATCTGGATAAATGTCCCTATCTCCCTGCTTGAATTTGGTTCCTAGGTCTGTTAAATATAAAACGGCAGTCACGTTCTTTGCGTCGCATAAGTAATTCATTTGATAGATGGGTTTGAGTACTTTAAAATAAATACGTATACAAGATGATCAATTTTCCGTAAGACACGGAAAGTATTAACATTTTGAAAGATTTTTTTTTTTTTTACTGTTAATTTGAAATAGGTGCATGCAGTCGGTTTAACATTTTTGCATCGCCCCTATATTACTATGGTTCGGTGTTGAAACCGTCGACTACTGACATTTAATTTTCAAACGGCAAACTATATTCGAAATGTCATAAATTTATGAAGTTTTTCAAGTTCTATATTTTTCCAGAGAAACGTAGCGAGTGCAGAGGAACATAATATACGGATATTGTATGACCGAAACGTCCTGATTAAAATGCATCGAATAAATTGATCAATATTGTTGAAGTTTGACCCGTCAAAAAACCTCATCATTTCTCGTCAGTCGTGTATAACGTGTTTACTCTTGCTACATATTTTAATATAGATAAATCATAATTATTAGTTATACACAGTCGATTGGTCTGCATACTATTCTAAAATTTGTACAAAGCAAATTATGAACACCGTGTACAATATAATTATATTATATTATACTTTATTCGATCGATTTTCGTGCTTGACTAATATGCAAAATATCACATTTACGTAATGGAATTTAAATTATATTGTAACACTTTTATTTTTTTAACGAATACAAATATTATAAAATAGTGTTTGTGTACATTGTGCGATAAATTCGAACTTATTTTCAAACGTTTTTTAATGATTACTGTTTATTTTATTAAATTATTTTGAAATCGTATTCAATGACTAGAACAGTTTCATAAATGAAAATAAACACAGAAACCAGGAAGTTTAAATTTAAATATTTTAAACTATATAACAAATGGAATATGTGAGAAGTTTAACGTTATTCTGAGTTTTTATTTTCGGTTTAACTTTTAAACGTTATAGAAGATGCTTTATATCGCAGTGTATACGTTTGAAATTCCGAAGATTCTTTCACAAGGATCTTCAACCTGACGGCTCTGAATATAGTGAAAAAACGAAAAATCCCTTTAAAAATATGATACGGTAAAATCATGAAATAATATTGTAATTGCCAAATATAATAATTTTAGATTCTGAGTGAAGAGAGAAATATATTGGTTTAACAATGATGATTATTTATTTTTTTTTTCTGTGGACAACTTTTCTACCGGCAATATCGCTCCGATTTTTACGGGAAAATAGGTACAATATTAGACAAATATTATCAAAGAAAATATATAATGCATATGCAACTAATTATTTTACTATAATATGACATATACGAGTACATATACATATTTTTGACAAAGCAATACTATCAACCGCACTCCGCTCAGAATTTTATTTTCGTTAACAATGGTTTTTCGCTGTTTATAGATATACATCAAATTACCTATAAGAGTGACTGCACCTATTCTCATTATCTAAGGACAGCTTTTTTTTTCGTATTCAAAGGAAATTTTTATTCTGTGTATTTTTTCAGTTTCAAATTATTTCATATTATGTTTATCAAACACCGACGTCGTTATCTCATAAGGTTACCGAGAAAAAAACAGAACAAACAAACAATGATGGTAAAACAACTTGTTACAGCCTCGTTTCAAGTATCTATACCTAACGATTTTCAATAAGTGCACAACGAAGACAAACTATAGGTACCTACTTATGGTTATTATTATTGTGTTGGAGTATTGTACTTACACTATACATGCATAGAATATTTTTATATTGTTGAAATGTAATATTGTAATTACGTTAGCCGAGCAAAACTGCAAATTAAAAGTAACATTATATTATATTATATTCTGAAACGTATTTTGTTCCGTACAATTGTTCCGAAATATGTAAAATTGAAAATATCAAATTTTTGGAACAAAATATTGTATTTCCTATATAGTATCCAAGTACAGATACAATACTCATATAACTGGTTATTTAAAATGTACATTACTATAATTATTGAAATAATAATATAATTGCATGTTGTTATAATGAGAGTAAAACATATTATATTACATCGTGTATAATTTTAGATATTCGACTTGGTCTTATTTTAATTGAATGTTCCAATTTACCGAGTGTAGATTTTTTTTTCAACGAGAAGGCCAATGATGAAATACAAATATATTAAAAAGCCGAAATAACATTACAATTGAAATTTTACTAGAAACAGTAAAAACATAAGTATTAAACACAGAGATATCTTTTTACGAGTAGTAATTTTTTTAACCAAGTACAACTTATGATTAACCTCGTTTTTGATTGTCAAACATTTTGGCCGGGCTAAAAAAATTATGCTCCTATAGATAGAAAAGGTTGGGAATACAAGACACATACAGTTATTTTTGGTTTATATCTATGCACAAATAAAATAATTTCTAACATAGTACGGTTCTGATCGGAGTTATGTTCTACATATTCGTATACGCTTATAATCAAACAGATCGATTAAGCGGAAAATGGATAAATACTGCTGTTATGTTATGCATTTTGCGCTTGTGCCAATCGTAAATGACACTCATAATGACAGCATCCTTTATATATTATAAGTATTTAATATTGTACGATACCTATACGGTATACTGGTAACGAAAGTTATTGAAACGTTTATTTTTCTTTTGTTTCTAATTAAAGAAAATTAATATCCGATTATTTTTAAACCCAGAAAATAATCGACTGAATCGATTAATCGAAATAATCGATCAGTCCTCAGTATGCCTAATTAATGAAAACTTGCGTGTACAGTATGACAAATTGTACACATTTCAAACACTGGCATTTTGCTGGGCGTATAGTAATGATATGTCATATGTCAATATACTGGATGATCCATTTAAGTGGGTACACTCATTATTTCAGAAAGTTTTTTTTGATTTGTTTTTTAGAACATTTAAGAAACAAGCTGTACTACAATTTTATATAAATGTTATTTTTGTCACCATTATTTTTGAGGGTAAAACCATAACCTACTTTTGATTTCCGTTTGGCAACCTATATTAAAAATCCCATAATTAAATAGAGTATCAGTTAAAATAAATGTTAGTGTTGACATTTTTGATTGTTGAAGAGATAGTCCACTTTTAAGTTTAGGTTGAAGGAAACTAGTCGGGTAATCATTAGTGTGGCAGTATAGCGCTCGGCGTGTTAATGCATCACTATTCTCCTCCAACCTAAAATTAAAAATGGTTTATCTCGTCAACGGCTCGACAGACATCAAAAATGTCAACACTTAAATTTATTTTAAATTAATACTCAATCTAATTATGGACTTTTAAAAATAGGTTGTCATTTGAAAATCAAAAGTAGGTAGTTGTTTTACTCACAAAACTAAAGGTGACGAAAATAACACAAGTATACAATTGTAGAACAGAGTTTATACTTTCCGATATAATGAGCGTGCCCACTTAAATGAATCGCCTGGTACTCAATGCACGCTATTTTAGGCGTCTATCGATAAAACCATAACGATGCTATACGAATTATTAGAAACAGTACCAACACGAGCAATATTTATATATAGCGTCAATCGTATTGCTAAATCAAAACACTTTGACGGAACATTATATAAATTCAATTATCGTCGTGTAGGCAGCGTGACGTAATTTTTCTCGATGCGCGATCTATTAACTGTATATGTAGTATTAATTTAATAATTTATAATATGTCAGCGGATAAATCGTAGGTGTAATTTTCAGTGAACGACGTACCTACAGTTATTTTGAACTGCTAATTTACTACTCGACCGATCCTTTTAAGATCTTTGACACTATGTTCGTATAATCCGCATACGGCTATCGAACAATAATAATATAATACAATATCATCAGTTTCCTAGATTTTTCCGTAAGGTAAACGATACTGGCGTTGTAATATTTCCAACACAACATGCAACACCTACTTGTAATATTAATCACAGATTTCCGTCCAATTTCAATGTACGAGGTGATTTTGATCCAGAAATTATTACCTACGAAGATTTCGAGTAAAATTGTTTTTTGGTATCTTTTAGTCGTTATTACTCGATATATTGAATCGTATGACCATGTTATTTATAATATTTGTATTACTGGTAACTTAATAATCCATGCACCACAAATGCATATCAACCAGATTAAAAATAAAGAAATTAGTTTTTTAAATGCAAAATATCAGCTCAATCTGTTCAGGAGCTCAGGGATGAATTTATTAGCGAAATTGAGCAAAATGGCTCGTAGAAATGTAGATCATAGAAAAAATAAAATATCATTGTAAAACCAATTTATATCAATACATTCCTCGCTCCACTCTGAATCTAAAGCAACTTAAAATCATCGTATACATTCTATGTATCTAGTATAATATGTAAACATAAAAAATCGTTGGATAGTGATAAATCACCCTGTGTAATTTGCATCATTATGTTTTAAGTAGCTTACTTGGTCATCTATATGATCTATATGATGATATATTCTATTCTAATATATTAACATATTGTTACCGTTCGGTATAATGTATACTTTCATTCATGATTGTGTTTATATATTATATTATTTTATTTATGTAGTTAATTAAAAAACGGAATTTGTATTATAGAGGTACGCCTTATACAATAGCTGGTAACGATTCAATTTAATTAAAACGAACCTATATATACCTACTTGAAAACCTAGTGGGCAAAAAACAATACAAGTACGTATTTCCATTGTTTAATCGAATAATAATAACAACAAAAAAAAAAAAAACTTAAAAAATTACTGAATACAAAATAGTTGTTTTTTGCCGATCTGTTCGGTAAACATCGCATCACGATATTTTCAAATACCTATCGGCTATGACATTAAAGTATCGGGAAAGGCGTCCTCGTGTTATTAAATCGCTTTCAATTCTATGGGCAGGCGATAATAACATTTTCAATCAATTAACCGCATCGCTGTGCGGAATCTCGCCGATAAATGCTACATTTCCGATGGAAACGTTTTCCGTGCGCGACATTATTTAATTGTAGATTCTTTAGAGTCCTTTTATTTTTGTTTGTTTTTTTGATTTCTGAGTTACTTTAGCAACAAGAGGAAAACACGGCTAATATTATTCCGCTCAAATTCGCCATCCAATTATTTTTCAATTGAATAATTTAGACGTTTTTATGTTTTTTTTCCCCCCAATTAGTTGCAATATTTTGCGTCAGATTTAACCATATTACAGCGATCGACGAAAACAAAATCGGCACTTATTATTATTTTAAATATAACAAGCTACACGCGCACAGCAGGCCTTACGAAAATATTTTTTACGATGGTTTTAAACATAACTTTCTATTGCATGTGCTGAAAATCGAGCGTTCAAAACTACGTTGTGTTTTGGGCATGCCCGTTGTGCGATATAAATGATAAATTGCTACACTATCCGTTACCGTGACGCCCAATCAAGATAAAAAACAGATAGCATCACTGGCGATTAATAATATTTTATTCAATAAAGAAAACGATCGATAGACCATAATATAAAAATGATAAAAAAACGTGTATAATGCGTCGCCATTTATTAACTGTATACCCACCTCTAATAATATCACGACGAATTTGACGGCGGCGGCTGCGTCGAGTTCCCGTAATATTTAAAACTCTTTCGATGTTATTTAAATCAAGTACAAGCAAAAAAAAAAAAAAAAATTACCCGTGAGCAGCAGAGCTCCGTCATAATAGAGTCGAATTTTACCTCAGCTGACTTATCTCGGTTACAATATTTATTTTATTTATTTGAAACATTTCATGGTTTCCAGAGTTTTATTACATTTTGGTATATCTATATACAGTAAAACTTCCGTTAACGGTCACCTCTAAAATACCGTCACTTCTGTGTAACCGGTAATATGTTTTGATCCCGTTAAGTGTTATGCCTTTATAAGACACCTCTAAAGGAAGATCAACTCTAAATAGCGGTCATTATTTCCGATCCTTTCGGCGACTATTATATGATAGTTTTACTGCATAGGGTATTATGTATAGGGATATTTTAAGTGAAATTTGAAATTTCAGTATTAAAACGGTTGGGAAAGGCGATTCAAAAACTGTCACTACTAATATCTTTGATATACTTATACTTTATGCATGCACACATACTTTGGACTTCATTTGGGGGTTCTGTAGGGGTGAGTAACACTAAAAAAAGTTTTCAATTCGAGTATTCAACTCTAATTTACAAGTTCAAGCTGGTCATTTGGTTCAGTTAATGTGTTTCAAAGTAGCAGAAAAAAATATAATATATATAATATATATATACATAAGAGTTATAAAGCATAAAATAGTTTTTTCGGGGAAAATTCAACAGTAATAATTATACCTATACGTACGTATTTATACACATATGTGTTAACAATTAATGATTTTTTTTTTAATTTTATTTTATTAACATTTTTTTTTTTCGTTACCTATACTGCATACAACCATGGTATAATTTTTGATACAATAATATTATCGTAATATGTTATAAACAACACGGACCAATGTAGGTTGCAATTTTCACCGATAGAATCCCGCCCATAGCATTATTATATTATACGATGCATGTTAGGTATACCCACTTAATAATATACCGGTCGACGGACGTAGTCAGGGGAAGGGGGACCTGCGCGAACCGCCGACATCGGTAACTGCCTATATCTCGACAAGTCCACGTGCGGAAGCTTTTTGCACACGTTCGGCGGCCCGCGATTCGATCGGTCCTTTTTTATTAATTTCATTATTCGATACTTCTACATAGAATCGCGTTAGTTTTGCGAGAAAAAAAACCAATACCTAAAACACGCGACCAGTTGACGAAAATACTTATATGTATACAATATGTAGTCATACTGTCGATGGGGTGCGTATCGTACAGTGTTTAGTGATATAATCGTTTCGTTAGATTTTTATTTTTTCTATCGTCGATTTGTTATATTATAAACAAATCGACGATTTCACGGTTTAATGAATGTGTGTGTGTGAGTGTGTTTGCGTGTGTATCGGTCCAGTAACGTGCCGGGAATAAGTGTATACGAGTCCGTAAGCCGAACATCCCGTGAGGTGAGTGCGATTATTATAATACGATGACTCCGGGGCGTTCAAGTCCCTATGTCTATTTACGACCCTTTCCTTTCTTCTGTAGTCAATATTGCTGAATTACCCAGTATTTTTATGGCTCACCCTTATCCCAGTCATAATTAATTGATTTTTAAATAAAAAATGAAACAAATAAAACAATTAGTCGGCAAAAAGCATATTTAATTAAAAGTTAATAGTTAACAAAAAAAAAAAATGGAACTAGTCGAGTTAAAATAAAAACCAAACATTAAGAAAAAATGTTTGTCCAAAAACAAAAATATCTCATGTGTTGCATGTGTTCGATTAACTATACTTTTTATTACTGTCATAATATACAATTATTTAAAAAAAAAAGAGTTTATACTAGGAATGGGTGCGTATGTGCACTTAGTAAATATGAAGTTTTGAAGGTAGAATACGTAAAGTTTTTTAATTGATATCTGTATACAACAAAGATAAATCATTGTAAATGGAAAACGGTTCAGAGCGAAGTGGGGTTAAACATGTTTTAAAATGTTGTTGTTTGTATAATATACGTCAAAATTTGAACTTTAACGCTTATAAAAAAACTACTTCATTACGCGTAGCTTATTACCATAAAAAAAAATTGTAAATTAACTTATTATTAAATTTTCAATCATTTCTGTACGGCTAAACAATTGTAACCACATACTATACATATTAAATAAAAACTAAAAACACTGGAAAATCTTAAATCCTTTCAAACCTCAAAAATCGTTAGATTTTTTTGAATTTTTGAAAGATTTTTTACGTCTAAAATAGATTAATACAAGTATGCTGTGAAAATTTTAGCTCGTTACGATTATTATTAACTTGCATTAACAAAAAAAAAAAATATCAACAAAAATGAAACTATTAATGTTGTAAACTTTCTCGGTTTTCCCTGTTATTAAGAAGACTATACAGACAATGATAAACTGACTTTTTAGTCAGCAGTTTAATGAAATTTTCTTTCGGAAAAAATGCTACTGATAAAGTTCGGAAAAAGATTTTCATTTAAAAAAACCTAATAAAAAGAATCGAAAATAATGAAACTTTTATTGTAAATTGTCCATTTTTTCTTTACATTTTTTTGGTCCTTTTTAATTTTTTTGTTTTCCTCAACTATAATGAAACCCATTTTTAGAATCAAAAATGACCATCTCAGTACACAAAAAGATTCAAAAATTTGATTAAAAGGTCTCTTGTTATTTTTTATTTAGAGTAAGATTCCCTATAAAAAAAAGTAGCCCAAAAGTCAGGAGTCGGAAACCTGCAATCCTTAACATGCAATCTGTGGCCCTTTGGAAAATGCATCAATAGAAAAACTCTTATTTCGTTTCTTTTGGTTTTTCTCCGACTACCATAAAAACTACTTTAAATATTAAAAAATGACTTTCTGTCAATGAATATCTAGTCATAGATATTAAACAAAAAAGCAAAGTCGATCTTACGTCGTTTTTCAATTGAAGCAAGATTTCTGGTAGAAAAAATAATTTGTAAAAAATTAAAATAATGAAACCGAAACGCCAAGTTGACGTACATGATATTAATCAATTTAAAAATTTTGGTTTTTCCAATTATTATACTACTTTGGATATCGAAAAACGACTTTCTTTGTCTATAACTATAAATTATAAAGAATGAAAAAAGATCAATTGGCATTTTTCGATTAACACAATGTAGAAAACAAAGATTTTAAAACATAAAATCAAATAATTTAAAACAATGAAATCGATCAAGCCATAGCGCCGCAAATATTGGCGGGTTTTCCAATCATTTTTTTGAACTATCGGACTTATACTTTTACTCATATTTATAGGGCTTATATATTCAGTGTTAAGTTTACTTACCCTTATTCACTTTCTTTCAAATTCTATTTCAAAGCTATACCTCCAAGTCTATAAAAATTATACAAGATTAAATATTACAGAAAAAAATCTATACAGATGGCTAATTTATAAAAGAAAATCTTTTAAAGTTTCACTAGAGTTTTAGTTTTCTGAAAATGTGTAACCTAACCTAGTTATTCAAATTAATTTACATTTTAAAATTTACTTACACTTAGCTAGGTTAATTTTTTTTATTAAGATAACTTTAACGCCCGTAAAACTGAACGTTAATTTTCCGGTTAAATGTTGATATCATTTCCGTGCTTTACGAGAGGAAAAATGGGCGATACAGTAGCTTCCAGTGCTCCGGTTACGGCATCGAGAACACGTAACGAAACACCTCGTAATACATAATCGTATGTGTTCTGTAAAGTTTAAAAAATAAAACTATAAATGAAAAACATAACAATGCTATCATCGTATTATTTACACTATTACTTATTATTACGATAGGATGGAATTCCGCGTTCGGACAACAAACCCATTTAAAACGTTCTTACTGTACCTGTGCGCGTGCGAGTGTACCTATACATAATATTTACACCGGTGTCGTACAAATTATATATAGCCGCACGTTGAACCGTGTGCGTGTGTAAATATTATTATCGTGTTATAGTCGTTGGCAGACCCGCTTGAATGGATCGAAACACATTTTACCCGGAGACTTAACCGTGGAAAAAAAAAATTAAACCGTATACGTGATACACGCGTGTGTGGCCCTTCCCAGTGTAACTTATATGTACTACAATGTTACTGCACAGTTTGTTATCCTACCGTAAACGAATATTGTTGTTAAAGTGCCTATACAGATAATTCGTTAATATCTGTCTGTGTGTGTGTGATCTTCTGGTTAAGTTTATGGCAAAAAAACCAATTATACTTGTTATAAAGAAAAGTATTTACTGTACATTGACCAATGATTTTTTAAAACAAAATATTCTCCTCTGTTAATAAGTTACAAACGGTTAAAATTAGATTAAATTAAAATACGCATTTTCCCATATGAAAATATTAATAAGTCACTTGACCGAGGTGTAGTAAACACTGTTTTTGATGTGATGCAATAATAAGTCGCTTTATCCTAAACTTAACCAAAGAGTCGTAATCGTTTGAGTGTGATGTGTATTTGTTACTATATTATATGCGAGCCAGTCAGAGAAAACAATTTATGTGTAGATACGCCGTTTAACTATCGCCGAGCTCGGGACAGTACCTATAAATAAAGGGCATTTTAATTTGTTTTATCCTACAATTATTCTGTACCCTCACGTTTGTTACGAAACGTTTACTTATAATAATAACTGTGTAGGTATGTAAATTTTATGGCACGATTTCCGCTGTTTGTTTGTAGAAAATGTATGCATTTTTTATGCACTGACTAAATATGTATAGACATTATGCAGGACACTCGCGTGCACAATTTTTACACGGGAGAGGAGGTTATACATTTCAAAATTCCAATTACTGTTAGGTATCCCAATAATATTCTGAACGCGAAAATTTGTTTGGATGTACGTGGATACATGTTTATTATCACTTCCCGCCCAAACTTCTGTACGGATTGAGTTCTGCATAAATTATATAGTTGTAGACCATAAATAGTGTCATATAGGAAGACAAATTTTTTCTCGTATTCAAGCTCTAAAACGGGAGGTAATAAGGATTATTGTTATTTTCGGGTTGCCTTGGAGATACGGATAAAAAAGAAAAAACAAACGAGAGATAACAAACGAAATAAAAAAAATAACTAATGAGGTAATCAGTAAAGGGTCGTAATAGTCGTTGCGAGGCTACGCACAACGAATAGTAGTTATAGGTACCATAGAAACTGGTTACATACACTTTGTTGTTGGATTGTTAGTAATTAGATCGAAACTTCATTTAAACATATAGAACTAAAGCGCCAAAACGGGGAAACACGTTTTTATTTTTTATTTTATTTTTTTTACATATTTTTTCGTTCAATAATGACACGGACAAAGCCGCGTGAGACAACTACACTATACAATAACTTAGAACCGCAATGTAAAATAATGCACACAATACAATTCACAAGCACGAGCCATAGGTCTATTAACAACCACCACTTTTATGCACTTACTACATATATTTTTTAAAGTATTTTCTTGATTTAAATACAACAGATTTATATGGTCTGTTATATTACGAGTATGTCGTGTTCATTTCAATCCACCTATGGAAAAACTTCCGGTTTCATAGTTTTAACTAATTTGGTCCGGGGGGAGTCGCTAAATGTATTCAATTTTAGCGTTTTATTAGTATAACAATGTGCGAAAATCGCACAATGCCGATAAGTAAGACTAATAATAATACATTTCTCTCGTTTCGGTTACAATCTAAAAATACTGTACCTACGCTATGCCCGGTCTCTTAGGTTAAAAACTCCACTCTGTAAATAATATCACGCGGCCGTATACCTATATAAAGAGTTTAAAAACAAACTATTATTTTTTTTATAACATTATAGAAATTGCTCGACACATTCATAATATAATATACGAGTACCAGGTACCTTATATATTGTAAAAAAAAAAAAAAAAAAACCAGTATATACTGTAATAAGCACACGCGTCGAGCCTACGTAATAGAAAGTTAATAATTTATTTTATTTGTTTTTTTCTCGTTTCAAATAACAGTATAGTTCATTGCGCATTATTGTATTTCAGCGAGTTGGTATATATATATATACGATTTAGATGAAACCGTAGGTATACAATATAATATAAATATGCAAATTTTCGACACAGCGTCTCGCTCGCACACGATCTGTGTTGCCGATCTGTAGTAGGCTTCTATCACCTGTACACTCACACACGCACACATATATACACACATTTGACCGAGACAAGAAGTCGACATTACAAGAGAAACACGCGAAGGCAAGGGAGGGCGACGGCGGAGAGGAGATCGCGCCGTGGGAATACGTGACCGGGGAAAGTGCAGTGAAGTATTTGGATTTTTTTACATTATTTTAAATTTTTTTTCTTGCTTATTCTTGGTGTTCTTTGTGCGTATTATATTACGCACGCGGACACCGCCGACAACCGGGAAGAAACGGATGATAAACATCGTATACCCACTGCTGCAACAATATTGCCGGATAGGGGAAATTCAGAGTCGGCAACCGGTTCAGACACGACGACGACGAAGACTGGAAACGAGTGTCGCGCGGTCAACAACGTCAATAACGTTTCCCTCGTCATATTCGGTCGGGTCACCGCAAACAGAATCGTACGCATTAAATATATGTCCAAACGTGCGAATATCCATAAACGTAATATTTTTCTTTAAGAAACCGTCGGTGGCGTCGATTGTATTTTATATACTTATTATAATATGACTATCAAGAGACCGTTACGATTTTCATAACGTCCCAATCGGTTTTGGCATACTGCTCTCTTATATATTCGCGGTTTCAGATTCCGAGCGAAACGAAGAATTGATTGATTTTACAATATGGGTTTTTTTTTTTTTTAATCTGTTAACAAATTTTTTACATGAAATCTTGTTCCAATCGATTCTATAGCAACTTTCGTGTACCGTCTTTTATCTAGTTAGTGCGTCGAGGAGGTCATTTTTCTATTTTTCTTGTAGTTTTCTTAATAAACGGGAAAACTAGCAATTTTTCGTATACGTTTTGTTAATTTTTGGGTTACTTTGGTAACAGGGGAAAATACCTCATACTCTTCTCAGAGTTGTTGCGCACAGATAAAAATTAAATTACCCTATACATCATCTCTTCAGACTTCATCCTAAAACAATGGAACATCTAATAAACAATAGTACAATATTATCGGCCTTGCCATGTGCACAAATTGTGAATTTAACATTATATAATTATTCAATGAATGATTTCGTGGACTAATTTGCAATTTGTATACATCATTAATTTGTTAAGTCATCGCAAAAAAATCGGTGAAATGTTGAAAATTAAACTTTCAATTGGTTTTGAATCGGCTAAAAACGTTCACTCTTAAATCGCCGGAAATTTATGAATATAACTTTTTAAAGATTCCTGGTTAAAAAGTCAAATTCTTTAAATGTCTATAATATATCTACAACATCAAGGTACACAAATAATAAATGTCTACAAAATATAAGATCAAAAATTGAGTCAATTTTGACATTAAATGTCAAAACTATTATCGTCTTCTTCTTTAGGTTGTCGTCCATAAGGAAATATCCCGTCACACACATACACACACACACACACACACACACACACACACCCAATCTTCCAATTCTCCCTGTCAGTTGCTCCAAATCATTTCCAATTTAACTCTATATTTATATATTCTATGTCTTTTCTCGGCACATAATATTTTCCCATATTAAACAGGACCTCTACATGTTAATCATACCTTTCGTAAAAGTGGATTCTGACTTCGCTAAACGTGCGCAACCTATTTAATCTCTATAGAACAAACAATTTTCCGCAAAAAAAAAAAAAAAATGGTTGCCTTGCCTTTAAACCAGCATAATAATAATATCAAAGCAAAACATAAGGCATTCGAATGGTTCAATTATTTTAGTTTTTTAATTTCGACTCTTAATTATTAATTTTATAGCGTGACATACGACCGAGTTGTCTACTTGTTTTCGGCGGCTGGACTGTGTATATTTATTTAGTAAACCTTGTATATTTTGTCATTATTATAATAATATATTCAAGTATTACGTAATATTGTTGTGATTTTAATGTGTTACGAAGTATCGCACAAAAACTTAACAGTAAGTACTAAGTGGGTATTACATACTGTTTTCTTGCGCATTAAACGATACGATTATACGATTATACATTGGCAACACAATTACACGAAATCTCCTGGTATACAATATTATTTGACTTCCTCTCAAATACATATACTTTTGTGTCTATTCTTTATAGATAAGTGTTTATTTAAAGTTTTATTTTTTTTTTAAACGACTTTGATTCTAATTTCTAATCTACAATTCGTGAGTTCGTAATAATAGAACATAATATTTACACGTATATTATGTAAGCATTTTTTATTTACAATTGCCGTACTTTTTTCTTTCTTAAACCGAATAATACAAATAATTAATTTACAAAATAATATAAGAGTATTAAGTGAATGATACGAAATAATTTTAAAATAAAATCGTCTAATAGTATAGGGCCCGAATTTAAAAACAACCGAAAAATGCCTGAAATAATACTCTTAAAAATGCCTTAAAAAAGGGAAAAAATATAGAAAAATATAAATCGTCAAATCACGTAAAAAAACACGCTTTCGCAATAATCGCATTAAACTTTCATATTGTTCAATTTTACAATTCAAACGTCAAACGCAACCAACGGCGACCGTTGCCTTTTCGGAATGCAGAAAAAACAAATGCATTTTGACTCCGGTTGTAGAAAATAATAATTTTGCAGACCCATTCGCTTTCGTCTAGCTATTCGATATTAATTTTGTTATATATTGCAGTGTTAACAGCAGTGGTGTGATTCCCAAGCTTTCGTATGCTATGTACCTCTTGTAAATTTTCAAAATTTCAACCCACCTCCTTAAATTAGATTAGATTAGACGATTTTTTTTTTTTTTTTTAGTGAGCCATACAAATATATTTTACAAAACAACTAAAATTTCAATTTTACTGATTGTAAAATGGCGTAACCGTAAAGTTTAAAAATTCCCCCCTAGGAGCAATTTCCCCCTGGTTGAAAACCACTGATCTACAGTTCTACGCAATTCAATAATTGATTTGTTTCTTTTTTTAATTCGCGAAAAATCAAAAGCAAAATCTATTGTACAGCAAAATGTCATCAATATTTTTTTTCTTTAGTACTTTTACAAGTTTATACGTACTTTCATCATTGCATAATATTTAATAATTCGTAATATTATTGTCGTTTAAACCTCGTTAATATGCAGTTATTTTCAATATGTATTTGTTAAACGACCGAACGAAAACCCGATTTTTTGTATCAAAAACTGTATTATACTATTAGGTGAATTATTCCAATACGTAATTATAATTGCACGATGGAGCGAATGGAAGGGGCAGATGAAACGAGTACCTGTATCATTATTTGAATACACAAGTCGTTTTTTTTTTTTTTTTTTAATTACATTATATTCAGGTGAGGTAAATATCATAATAAAATTGAACCGTCCGTTATCGGAATCTTCAATTTAAATACATTTTAATAATATCACAGACTGCAACATTCGGCAAGTACGGACTTCCACTTTTTTTTTTTTATAAATAAAATTTGATACGATAATTATACGGTACACCTACCTTGGCGTATTACTCGTATAATATATTATTATACGCGTAATGACGTTTTGTGATTAAATTACCGGTCGCGCAATAATATCGTACGGAAATATACGTTTTTAAACGCGTATTTGATTTCACTGCACCGTTCATTACACTATACCTATTATTATTATTATTATTATTATCATACATTTTAGAACGTACGCACGTGTAACGCGATGCAGCGTTGCAAATTGCATATTATATAGGTATACTGCGTATATTATAACAATATACCGGCGCACCATATCAAAAATATTACAATATGCAAATAATATTCAATTGTACTTTAATCGGTCATGTCATTAAAAATAATAGTATTTGTGGATGGGCCGCCTGTTTCCACGCTTCATAAACGGTTACACCGCGAGATCCAAAAGGGGCGGGCCTATAGGGAATACGGCTATTTTGGTGTAGCGGAGGTAACGATGGCTTTTTTATATCGTTGGTTTTATTAAAAACGAGTAGGCCTGTATTGACGACCGCAATAAATCTATTATACACTGACGGCCTAACCGTATGTCTTTAATATGTACACAGGGCCAAGTGCCGGCACAAACGCTCGTATAACAACCGATAACCTCAAATCGTCATTATAATGCAGGATGATTCACTAAGCGTGCTCACCAAATTTGTTCGGTTAAATGCAAATTAAAATATTCATCCTTCGCTTTGATATAATATTATTGTACCATATTATTACATCTCCAATACTTAATTACTACTGAATGCCAACCGTATGAATTTCTTTACAATAATTATAATCATAAGACACCTACGATCAAACGTGTTTGTTTTGTTATCTTAAAAATTTAACACAATTTTCTCTTAGAAGTAAATTGCTGATGGATTTTTGTTAAACTACTAGCGCTCCCCGGTATGGAATTTTTAACATAATTAAATTGAAACAATTTGTGTTGTGTATTTTTGTAAAACTCTTTACAAAATATCAGCAAGTATATAATAGCGAATAATATTTTACGGTATCGTTATTTTAGGGCAAATAATTTTACGAATTTCTATCTCTCTCTTTCTCTCTCTTTTGGTTATAATCCTAAGATTGGTTTGCAGCTAATTTCCATTTTTCTCTCCTATCCGGTTTCCTTTTCATTTGCACATATGAATCACATTCTTGGTCCCTTAAGAAGACCAAGACTTCTTGGTTTTTTACTGTTAAAAGCTATTTTGACTTGGCAAATAAGTTTTACTATTTCGCGCTTAATACGTTCATCCTTTCTTATTGTACTTCCTAGATACACATATTCATCAACTTGATCTATCATTTGATATTGAAATTTAACTGTTACATTTTACATACTAACAATCTCTGTTATGTTCTATTTTGTTTATTTAGTGAAAAATAATCACAGAAACAAGAAATTTTGCTGATATAAGTAAAGTCATTGGTATATAGATAGAGGTTATACAGCTCTTACAGGGCACGGTCAAATTTTCAAATCATTATGGCAATTTTCCAGTCATAGTCATTTGAAATTGTCATGTTGTTTTGGATTATTTTTGGTATTATATAATTCAAATTGTTTTATTAAATTGCGATAAATTAATGTCAAAAAAAGTTCAACATAATGCAGTATTTTTTTTTTTTTGTAAGAGCTTTAAGTTTAGTGCAAAATATGTACTGTCCCATATGTGACAGATACTGATTGGGGTTGTCCAAATGGGGGACGGATTTCATAAAAAAAATTTACATATTATATAAACAATTGTAGAATATAAGAATCACGTAAATAACACGGCCTAAGGGAGTTAGACGATCACCCTGCCCCCCTTGTATCCGCTACTGTGTCCCGTGCATTCTACTTGAAATAAATAATGGAGGTGCACTTAAATTTCTGAAAAATTAGGTGGTCCCCCCCTAATTCGAGAATTGCCTATAAGTATTAATAGAATTATTTTCATAGGAAACTACGTTGAAAATTTAGCGTAACAGTGTGAAATATTTTCAAAAATAATTAGGTACCGAATTTATCCATTCGGAGGTACCGAATTTATCCATTCGGTAGTTTTGCAGCTGTAAGTAACAAACATCCATCAGCAATATAATATCCATCCAAATAAACTTTCAAATTTATAATATGATTTTAAACTGGCAATATCGTTGATCAGCTTATCGAATAAAACACAATTATGAATGCAATCAAATGATTGTTTGATTGAAATGTTTCATGCGATATTTTCGCGTAGTTTTGTAAAATGTTAATTTTCTGCACTTATAGGGATCTTTCAAATGACATCTGATGGGGGGGGGCTGTCCGTGTGTATAAATAATAAATTATTTATATATATCATTATAAATCCAATTTTTCGTGACTAAAAATAATAAAATGATGAAAAAAAAGGGATCCCACGGCAAAACTATACACTAATAACTTCCCGTTTCCCGTCAAAACTTCAACAATGTAGCATATAATATCATTTAATATAGCGAAAATGCTCAGTATAATTAATTAATAATTATAGCAGAAACGTCTCTAATAATTATAGCGAGTTTTATGGGTTAACTTATAAATCGCTGAAACAAAAGAAACATAATATTTCACGAGCGAATATTATAAACGTGCCAAATATGTACATGATGATAATGCGCATTTTGATATTTAATTTGTAGATATGCGATGATACAAGTACAAGTAATTCGAAATTAAATTCCCAATTAAATAATATAGTTAGTGAAATCAAAATGCCAAAACTTTTTCGTTAAACATAATACGTATAGTTTTAATCGGAATATAAATCTTTCATCTAGATATTATACATAAACAAATTTTATACATTTGCACGTTACTTTAAATGTTGAAATTAATTTTTATTTATAATATGTTTAAAGTGTCTCCGTTGAAAGCATGAAATAATTCCGTGAAAACTGCAGAGTCGGTGTACACGATAAGGACAAATCTGTACTCACATATATTTAATACACGTGTACTTACCAACCGGGATTACGTGTTTTACGTAAATACCTATAGTGAAAATAAGTAAAAATAACGTGAAATAGGTACCTACGTGAATATTTTATGTGAACGCAGATTTTATAAAAATAGGTACACGGTTTTATAGACTCGAATGTTAATTTCACGTGAATACGTGAAAGCATCACGCTTTGAGTGTGTACACGTGAAATAGCGAACTCTATTATTATTATTTTAACTCTAGGATGACATTTTTTGATTTTCTCAAGAGTTCTCTCAATAAATGGGAAAAACACAGTAAAAACTGAAGAAAAACTGGACAATAATTACAATATTAAACAAAAATATTAATGAAAATAATATATAATATTATTTAATTATTTTACCTCAGTGGAACATAAATACGTATATTGTTGACAAAGCAACATTATTAACCGAACTCCGCTCAGAATCGTTTTTCGTTATCAATGGTTAATCGTTGCATATACATTAAATTTCGCATCTACCTTCCCAACTTCTCAACTACGACAGTGGTTTACCCACCTGCGAACAATGTCGTATGAAGTAATGTATTATTATTGTTACTATTTATAAATTCACAACAAACCCGAATAACTAAAATTGCAATGTAACACGGGACACATAAAATATTATGTGAACGTAAGTAAACGTTGTAAACATTTCTATATTATATTACATTGTATTTCGTACACATTTTATTTTTCAAATCCTGAATAACGCTTCGTTATTTAGTTTAAAATTCAAAAATATATAATAGGTACTTAAATATACTAATATTATAATAATAATATAAAATATAAAATAATATACTCAAATAATAATACACAATATACTCAAAACGGGATTATTCAATTCGGAGTTCCCATTTAATTTAATAGCAGGTGCATCTAAGAGTGTTTTTTTTTTAATGTAAAAACTGTCAAAATTTGTTTTCGAAATTGTTGCACATCATATAAATCGTGAAAATATTATTCAAAGTGAAATATAATAATTCTATTTTAAATTGATTAATTCTTTTGTGTATATTTTTACTATATCAAATGAATTTAAACCGTTCACTGCTTAAACAATTCGACAAATAACAACAAAAATAGAAAACGAATGAAGACAATTCCGAGAAACTTGCAGTTTAAATTTTTCTTTTCAAAAAAATACGAACAATATTAATATTAAAAAAAAAAAAAAATAATAATAATAATAATCTTTCATTAAATTACATGTGTTTTTTACAATACCGTTGTTACACTATGGGATACTTACTTATGAGTAGGCCACTGTTATGTAAACAACCAGGCGATAAAATTATAATATTGAGTATAATTGAAATTAATTTAAACTCTTTGACGATGACATTCGAAACGATAAAACGTAACCTATACGAAATTATTACCATAATATATAACATTCAACGCTTACTTTATCAAACTATATAAATATTTCATGAGGTTAGTGTAGAAAAAAAAACCACTTCCTGTAAATTAAGTATATCCTCGAAAGTCAACGGTAATTTCACAACAACAATAGTAGGTATGAGCCGATAAGAGCTTTTGAACACACTTCTGTGTATCCTGTATTATATATGTGGCAGTTTAGTTCCTCACGATCAAATTATATTGTGAACCAGCAATTTTCAAAGGGTTATGAATTCTTCATCTAAAAATGGATATGCAATTTATTTATCTTTCTTACACCTTAAGTCTAAATGTTAAGCTATTATAAGTTTTACAAATTAATAGATAAATCAGATAATACTGAAATATCGGTTTTAACATGACATCAGTGTTATACCTATCAAAATGTATAAAAAAATATCATCTATATTTAAATCTGTGTTTTGAAAAGGGCGGTGAAAGGAGGGTGTTTTTATTTTAAGATTCAAAGTATATACTCGTTTCAGGTATAAATAATATAGATAAATCATTGAAAATATGTGTTAAAATAAAGTTAAAACGATTCCATAACTATTATTATTAAAAAAAAAAAACAGAGATAAAATTCGCTTAAAATCCTTCAAGAAAATTACTGGTTTACATTGAGTTATCGCCCTGTATATACGAACTAGCACAAAAAAGTGCGGAGAATACGCGAAATATTCACGTGAGTTTATTACTGCAAAAGCATATGAATATAATTCACTAACAAAATAAATAAAAAAAAGGAAGGAGATTCTTCACACGAGGATGCAGCCATTGTTGAAGATGGGAAGTTGGGAAGGTAGGCTACAGACAGGAATTTGATGTATATATAAGCAATGATAAACCATTGCTAACGAAAAAACGATTCTGAGCCGAGTTCAATAGATAATTTGCTTTGTCAACAATACAATATATAGTATTGTGTCATATTATGGTAAAATAATTAAAACACTATGCGTTTCCATGACAACAATAATTGTTTAAAAAAGATTTAAAAAAAAAAACTAAAATAAAATAAAATAATAATAACAAAAAATAAATAAAAATGGTTGCCAATAACAATCTTATGTTTAATCTTTCAATCTTTTTTAACCTAAATACCGAGGTTTTCTCCATTATCTCGAATATTAATGAATATTTCAAAAAAAAAACCTATTTAAAGTACTACCCAGAGAAAATTTCTCTTCAGAAAAGGAGCTATACTTAATAATCTGAGAATATTTTCTGGTAAAAAAAGTGTTCACATAAAAAAAATTTAAAAAATAAACAGTCATTATAAAACCAATACATTCCTCGTTCCACTCAGAATTTAAAATAAATAAATACAAATTGGCTAATTTTAACATAATTATTATAACGTCTTTAGACTTAATTGAGTAACAATATAAGGTTAGGTTAGACTAATAAGATGTTGCTAATAGATAACCTGAAAATAAAGTATACCAAAATGACATAAAAAATATTAAAAATGTATTAATATTATTCAGTTTAAAAATCTCTCAACTAATAAATAATAATATAATATAAATTTATTTTTCAATTGATAATAATTAATAATAATCTTTGAAGTGTAAAATTTAAGCAAAAATATCTAAACGGCACATATACTATTAATATTACCAAAAACGTTAAATACAAAAAAAGCCAATGCGTTTATAACTAAAAATACTCAAAAAAATAAAACCTTAAAACATTCATTATGTTGAATCAATATATTTTTTAAATATTAATTTAAAAAAAAAAATGTTTGTATGCTTTTGCATATTTTTATTGGTTAGCCAATATTAATAAAATATTCTATTTACAAAATTGTACTTCACATATTTTTCTTGCGTGTGTTTATAATTTTTAGGTATACCTTTTAGGATATTTTATACATTTTTAGAGCATATTTTGAGGATTTAAAAAATTGTTAAGACATTTTCAACTGTTTGAATTGAAAATCACAAAATAATTTTTCGGAATGTATAAATATTAGCAGTCGTTAACTGATAACATTCATATAAGTTTTATTTTTGATCTTCTAATACATTAAAAATATGGACATGGCCATACTCTAATATCAATATGTTATCTTCTAATCTGTATTATATACGTACATTTATATTTTTTAGAGTAGGTATATTTTGATATTTTTAGTGCATATCTGCATACGTATTTGAAGTTGTTCAAAGCATATTATAAATATACTGCCTTAGTCATCAACCGCTTATTGTATAATAAGAATATGAATTAATTTGTGCGGTTTCGGTTTAAAATCAAACCGATTGGTATTGGATACGATACGATTGACGGATTTAAGCAAGCTGCTCATGACATGGTTCTCGCATATTTAATACCACGCAGAATTCGGATGTTAAATGGTGAGTTTTTTGTAAAAACTTTATTCGATCAGTTTAACTTGAAACTTTGCTCGTTATAATAAATAATTCGATTCATTTTACCAATACGATTTTATTGTGATATACAAAACGATTGAGTTTGTTAACTGAACTTTACGTCACTATCAGTGATCGTTATATTTTTTTCATAAGCCACTGAGTATTTTTCAGTAGGTATCTAGTAAGTAAACTACCTACCCGTCACGGTCTTCAGGTCATTTAAATAATTAAAAACTTAAAAACTATATCATATTTTGTTGAAAAAAAAAAAGAACACATTTATATAGTACGTTAATGTAGTATGTGTACCTGATTCTGAACAGACAGACATTATTTTTATTATTATAAAATATATTTCGACCTATAAATAAACTACCACAGTATACATGGTGTATCTGCAGGATTTAACAATTTCATAATCTAAACAACATACAGCCTGTATGTATGTATTTTATTTGAGTTTTTACTGAAATATTATTATTTATCTCCAAGGTTAAAACAAACACTTAAATTCATGACGTCTCGAACCTTCCCCCATAAAAAACACCCTTGTTTGTCATACCACGCCCGTAATATCATAGATATGGAAAACGCATCTTTTTAAATGTCTCTCCATTTTTTTAATCATACTATGTTGTTAATTTGGCCCATTTGTATCTTCAATAATTTTTAACTTTATGATCTTTTTCAATGCCTGGATAATATCACAAAATAAATAGTATTGAGAAGAACGAAAAGGGCGGGCAAGCGTGGAGAAATCAGAAATCAATAATAAGCACTGTAATTGAAAAAATAAACAAGTAAACGACCACTGAAAGGATTTCGCTTAAAATTGGAGGGTTTTGATGTCAGGAATGTCTGAGTGGCAATAGAGAACAGAAATATTTGTTTGGCGGGCTAGTCTTTTAAAAGTCGTTATCCTTTAAAAAGAAGAATAGTTTTTTCGATAAAAACTTATTAGAATCTAAAAATACAAGAATATTATCGAAACAAAAAATAATAGTGATAAAAAAATGTCAACGTTTTATCTAAAATGGTTTTCATTCATTTGAAATGCACCGTACTATAATATTGAAGGATAATGCCTGTTTATTTTTTTTTTATCAAAACTATACACTTAAAACGTGCGGGACACTATAATAGATAATTATTTGTATAAAAAAAAAAAAAACAATCTGTTTTGACGGAAACGAACGATAGAGATCCGTTTGATAACGAGGTCGCGCGTTATTAGAAACAAAACTGCCAATGCCGCAGTCGACAAACAGAATCGGTTTCACGTGTTTATTTGTGTTTTCGTTGCGAAAATCGCGTTTTACTACAAACGGGTTGTCTTCCAGAAATTTAGAAAGTTGACCGACACTGAAAAATCAGTAGATGAGAAAAAAAATTAAATCGAATATCTGTTGCGTTTCTCCCGCCAATCCCGCCTCCCCGCCCCCCCCCCACTAGTTTTGCGTGTATAATATGCCGCTTACGTGTAACAGTACGCGTATGCCTACATTCGCATCAACGTGAAACCGATAATGACTTTATATTTAATATATTATAATACCTTTATTGGACCGGTTTTCGGGGCGCAGATCGTTGGCGTGCGAGTATCCCGTGTGTAATAACAATATTATAACGAACGATCGTTATATAAAAGAAATAAACTAATTCAATATCGTTATTTTTTTGTCTTTCTTATAATTGTACAGCGCGTAGGTATAATATAATTTATTTCCATTATATTATACGACCGTGCGAACGAGCGTATAGAATAATTTAATTTATATACCTTTACAATGTCGATGGATTTTTTTTTTTTTCAATTTTTTTTTTATACTTCGTATTTTTCCGCTCGTATAGTAAAGTTGCACGAGACTCGGGGGCGGCTGGATATAATATTTCATTCGGCGGTCCGAGTGGTGTAAAACAAAACACATCCTATGGTTTTTTTTAACGGTTCATCTTTAGGTGGGTACTACTAGTTTTATTTATTAAAAAAAAAAAACAATGTTCAAAAGTACAAGCACAATCCATTCGGTATTATAATAATATAAGGTTTGTCCCAACACGGTATTCGGGACTAGTTGTGGACTGATCGGGGATTGATTTACTACGCATGCGTGGACTGATCATATATATTCGGAGCTTTGCAGAAAACTGTTGGAACGCGTTCCGGGCCAACTCTCGAATCGTCCAAGATTGTAGAATATTGATAATATATTAAACCTGTTAAGAATGAATCTGTTGTGTATTGAATGTGAGAGCATTAACTATGCGCGAAAAATGAAACATCAGTAACAGATAACAGTATAAAAACGTGAACCGGTTATACATTCGAACGCAAAACATTGATAGCATAAGAAAATAACAATAAATAAATGATAACAGGATTGTAATTTCAGCCCCCCCCCTCCAAAAAAAAAAAAAATGAATTTACTTCGCACGAAAAACTGTTGTAGATGAGAATTTGGGAAGTTAAAAGTGAAATTGAATGTAGATCTGTACGCAACTGTTAACGATTCTGAACGGAGTTTCGTTTATACACATGAGAGGCCGAAGAGAAGGAGCAAGATGCAGCATTTGCTCTCACCTGAACTTCAGAATTTCAAATATAATTTTATTTTAAATAATTTTTGGTAAATCATTTTATTATGCCTCTCCCTGATAAATTTTCTGCGTGCACCTATGGTTAAACATATTTTGAAAGGCCGTATGATATTTACGATTTGAAAATAATTTATATCGTAAATTTTCCCGTTTCTCCTACGTTATTGACCAGATTTTCCGATTTATTAAGAAAACCCTTAGAAAAAGTCCCTAAAATAACACTCCAGCAAAATTTCTTTTCAGAAAAAATACTACACTTGAAAATCGAAACAAAATTTGTGGCACAAAAGTTGTTTACAAAATAAAAAAAACATCGTAAAACCAATACATTCCTCGCTCCGCTCAGAATCTAAAATAAGAGTAACAAAAACTAATAATAGTGTAAAATTTATTATCAAGGACCCGGTGTGCAGTTGATGAAACTTGTTTTTTTTTGTACTTTTTTCGATTTCTGAGTTCCTTTATTGCGATTACACCGGGGCGGGGAGGAGAAACTATTTTTAATACCGTTGTCTAACATGCCCTTCTGACTGCTAACTTCTGCAAACGGCGTAACGAAAATAAAAAAAATATATTACACACAATATAATTTTCGTAATAGGTACAAATGTACGCTAAGCTTGTGTTTTTGCCGATTTCGAATATTGAAACGCGTAGTGTGGTTTTTTTTTTTATTGTAGGTAATACCGCTGACACTCCGTCGACCGTGTTCCGTGTTCGGAATCTTGTGTCGACGCGTGCCACTACACGGCCTGTACGTATATAGGTACAGTTAATTGCACTTTTATCCGGTCCGTTTATATACTAGTATCATAAATATTTACGTTTTATACAGTTTTACGTAAGTATAGGTTTCCAAACGGGTCATGTGATGACGGTAAAAACCGTCAATCCTTTCGCAGTCAAACGGAAATCGCGTACAATAATTGATAATTTATAGTCACTCGCTTACCTAGGTATTGCTGTACACTCTACAATAGATTTATTTTAAAAACACATACTTGACTCCACCAAATCAAACGTTAAATCGCATTTATAATTGATACAACATAGTGCAACTGATAAGAAAAGATATAAAAAAAAATACTGATAACAAATATATCGAAATTTCAGTTTTATTTTTGTCGAGAGTAAGAAGCCACTGTACCATAAACTATCTTACCCTGCTTACCGAACCCCATTCATTAAAAAGGTCATTTTTTGACTTTCGACACCATTTTATAAATAAAAGCACTTAAGTGGGAAAAAACGTAGGAAAACGTACTATTTCACGATTTCATTATTTTATAAAAACAAAAATGACCGATTTGATTATTATTGTTCACGATTGGAATTTGATTTACGAATTTTGCAACGATAAAACTGTGCCGTTTGTGCACCGTTACACTACTCATCACAAATCAGCGCGAAACGGAAATACGTACTAATGCTTCCGTATAAATATGATTTGCTGCACGTGTCGTACCAAATCATATTTTATTACCTATTTCTTATTATCTGCAATTTAACCGTGCAGGTAACACGTGTGCGCTCGTGTTATTATTACAATATAAAATCAATTAAAAAACTGCATAATTTCCCCGCGAAAACCCTCGAGAGAGAGAGAGAGATTCATATGAACCGTGGACGGAGGCGATAATTAAAACCGATAATAATTTATGTGATTATAATAATATAGCATAATGAACTCTTCACGGTTAATCAATTTAAACGTAACTTATACCACATACTTTATATACATCAGTGGTTCCCAACCTCTTTTATTTTACGCTCCTTTTGTAGATTTTCAAAAATCTCACCCCTCTTCCTCTACGTTTTACCTTTTTGAGAACAATATTCCGTACGATTTTTTGGGCAATGTTGCCATATACTATTAATTATTGTCAACTCGTTTAATTTTATTAAATAATATAACATTATAAAAAAAATTGATAAATTTGAAAAAGTTAACATTTTTTCAATTGAATTGGTTATTGTAAATTGTATAATTTTTTTACTAACTACAAACTACTATAAAATAAAATTAGTTTTTCACTTAACTTCTGCAGAAATAATCATGCGTCAATGTAGGTTTGTTTGGATAGGTCAAGCAAAAAACCACGGGTTTATAAAAGTAAAAAAAATTACTTTTATACAAATAAACAATTAATTGTATAGAGCTGAATGTAATACCTCACCGTATAATTAAATACAAAAAAAAAACTTATCTGATATATAACGATCGTATCGCTGTTGTACGTAGTACACGTGTTACTATAATAGTTAGGAATACCCTATACGTAAACCGCTATAACTCATTAAAATTGTCAATTACCTACGTAAGCTTATGAAAATCTGGCAACATGCGCTAAAATATTAGGAACACAACTTACGGAATCGTTTGCCTAACCGATAACCGGTCGTTATTAATTTATCATTTTTCTCCTTCATTGTGAAATAAAAATAGTTTAAGTAATAAATACAAATTGTGCACAACCTAACCTCCACTGCTATCCAAGGTGTTTCACCAAGATATATCCATTGCGATATCTCGGAATATAGTATTTACTTTTTCGGATTTTTTTTTTTTTAAATCTAAAAAACAAGTAGCTCTAAATTGTTACATTACCCATTATATTTTTCAATGTGAACCGACTACCTGTTGGTCATAGTGGTAGTTACGTAAGCACGTATACATAAAACAAATTTCGGCGAGATTCGTAACCGACTCGAACCACAATATGCAATGCATGGTATATGAAGCGTTAAAAGTAGAATTGTTAAAATTAAACCCCTAAAACTTCCACTAGTATACGTGCCTGACCGTACCCATTTATTTTGTCATATCTACAAAAGCAGGTATAAATATGTATATGTATATGACTGAAATGATAATTAGAAAAAAACACGAAAAAATTATTTCATTTATGTACCTATTTGATACTATATACATATACTAAATTGTTTTCCGTTTACATAAGTAACTAACCATTTTTTATTATAGCCTGTACCGAATATTCGCTTTTTATGTACACAAACGACGTATATAAATAACGATAACAGTTTTTATAATGCTGAGATTTGAAAAATGTGATTAATTAATTAAATGTATTTTTTTTTTTTTTTTGTCTGCAATAATAACGATGAGATATTGTACGGCATAAAATTGCAGTAAGTGCAGTACAGTGTACAACGACTCGAAACGACCGTGTACAACATCTAATAATATAATGTACAATGAAATTTAAAAGCGCCTTTTAACCTCCTTTTTATAATAGAAGGGCGACGGTTAGGAAAAACGGAGTACGAGATAAGAGCGGACTTAACGATTTCACTATTTACATTACGGAATATTTGTGTAATAACGTTTGCCGAGCTCTCTTTTATGCGCGGCACAGTGGGTATTTACGGATCTTTATGCAAGTTAATGTTTTTTCACATACCCGGGGTATCTATTCGATAGGATACAGTATATTATAAGTCACATGGTTATTGAATTATGCGATTTGCATTATAATATTATATTCGTTATTTGCATTGATATACGAATGCGCTACGTCTTATTATAATATAGTTCCGTCGATATTTCTTAGCTTCGTTCATGATAAATAAATGATACAGAAATAAGTTGTTTCGCACCGAAATTCGCATTTTTTTCTAATCTCGTAATTATTTACATAACGAACATCATAGTAATATATATCACGAACTATCATTTCAAATTGGTTTATCGTATTTTTAGATACGTACGCAAGAAAATTAATTTGATCTTTATACATAGTACAACGTAGAACATTGTTTTGTTTTCATTCGTTACAAAATAAACAAATTATCAATATCGGCAACACGCGTAAGCGGCGTACTTTAATATATATTAATTATTTTTTTTATTACCTTCGTGTGTTTAACGCAAGTTGTAACCATACACAATTGATTTTAATGTTTTGTGAAAGTATATATTATTACCAATCGCTTCGAAACCGTTGTCGGTCGGTTTATTTTAATAAAATATTACATACTTTGTTGTCGTTACTCCAGCAGTCAATAGGCTAGGTTCTCCCAATCTCAATATATAGATTATCGAGCGGGATGTTTTTATTGACAAGATTTCTTGAATATAATTTATAAATTTCTAAACTGTGAGTACATGATATATCTGTTTTATTAAATATGAATATAATACGAGTATAAAGTGGTTAATGTACATTAATAGTTTCACAAAAGAATAATAATATTTGTTAGTATGATTTATTTGCTAACACATTTTTTTTTTTTTTTAAATAATATTTAAAACATTTTTGAATTTTTTTTATTTTTGATATTCTTAGATTTTACAAGTATATTATTTTTCTTGTATAAAAAGAAAAAATAAGATATATGTTAAATAAAGTTAAGGTAAGTTATAAAGACAACTAAACCATTAAAGTCGTTATAATTTTTTACATAATGTTTGATGTTGAGGACATTGTCTATTAGCATAATAACATTGATTGTTCTTCCAATTTACTAGACCTATTCTAACTAAAGCCATGGCAGACGCACATATATCTAACCTTTATGATGGTAAGAGTATCAAACCAAATTCTGATATTAGTGATGCATCACTCCACTCTAAATTAGCACCTTTTATTATACCTTCATTTCTTTGCAAAGCATTGACGATATCATAACACACTTCGTATTTACTATTAGATAATATCATTAATGTCTTATTAATATTAGATTGTATAGTCACATACGTTGCATACTCTGATGCTATGATTAAACTTAATCCTGCACCAGCTGGTATTACACACATGTCGTTAACCTAACCTAACATCTACACTGCCGCGGAATGTGTAACGAAATATTCTGAATATTGTTCGCATATTTCAACTATAGAATATTATTCCTCTAGACGTATTCGCACCTAATTTATCTACACGTATTACCTCGTTATTTATGCTGTTTATCGGACAAATATTATATTTTACGGTCGAACTTATTTTACTATTATTGTTAGTATTCATAAAATATTTAACAGCCGGCGGTACTCTTAATTAGGCTCTGAAGATAATAATAATTCACAGTAATTTAATAATATACCTATCTGTCTACTTTATATATACTCTTGTGCTTTTATAATTGACAATAAATTGCTCTGTATTTAACTTAATTCAATATCCGCACGCATTTTAATCTAAATAATTCAATTCAATTATTTACGCGCAAAAGATAAAAATCTTCAAAATAATATTCAATAATAACTTATATAATTTAATAAATGTACGCGCAAAAATAATCCTCACTATATCCTCACTCGCACAATTCTTTATAATAAACATACCAGGTGATCCATTTAAGTGGGTACATTCATTATCTCAGAAAATATTATCATTTTTTTGGAATTAATTTTCTAGAATATTGAAGAAACAAGCAACTCTACAATTTTATATTAATGCTATTTTTTTTCACTCCTATTTTTTGGGTTAAACCACCCACCTACTTTTGATTTTCAAATAATTTAAAAAGTCCATAAATATATGGAGTACTAGTTAAAATACATCATAGTATTGAATTGTTTGATTTCTGTCCAGCTGTTGACGAGATATTCCATTTTTAAGTTTGAGTTGGAGGAGAGTTGTAGTGGTTCATTATTAACACCGTGCGCCGTACCGCCACACAAATGATATTCCATCACTCTCCTCCAACCCAAACTTAAATGTGAAATATCTCGTCAGCGGATTGATGGAAATCAAAAATGTCATCACTAAAACTTATTTTAACTAATATTCGATCTATTTGTGATATTTTTAATATAGGTTATCAATTGAAAATCAAAGTAAGTAGCAGTTTCACCCCCAAAAATAGGGGTGACAAAAAATAATATAAATTTAAAATTGTTTAGAGCTACTTGTTCCCTTAATATTCTAGAAAACAAATTCGGATAAAAGTTAATACTTTCCGAGATAATGAGTGTACCCCTTAAATGGATCACCTAGTATATTTTTCATGCTCAACTTATGTTAATAGACTCACAATAATTTTTCTCCGCTAGCTGACAATTTCTGAATTAATACGCCTGACTCGGTTGAAGAAAACTTGTCAAAAACAATAAACGTAATTATATGTTTATTTATAAACCGGGATCAAAGTTTCTGATGTTATCATTTCGTTTTGACGGTTCGACCGTTGTTTGTTATCATTGATTTCTAATTAATAAATAAATGTGTTGAGATTGCTTATGTGGGTTTGCACTGTTACTTATTGTCCAGGGAGTAGGTATACTAATGGATAATATCATTGAAAGATACTATTTTTTATATGAAAAATCGGAGGTCAGACTTTATGTTGTACATTTATAACCTACATTACAATATTATATTTAATTACATACAAATGTCTTATTTTATGTATTTAAACGTTATATTTTACAAATATAAAATATATGGTAATGATGATGAAAATAATAAATATTATATCGACTTGTATATTTACGTCTATGTACAATAACGGTTGGTTTATTGTAGTTGATGGGCATAACCGAGTAGAATTATTATCTAACCATTCAATAGTTTATACTGTTTATCGTATTTGAGAAGTTTTCCCGGATAAAAATATTCAGTAGTGGATAAATAATAAATCGAAAAACATCCGACAATACGTCTAAACTATCGACGGTATAAACTATTGTCGACATTTTCGGTCACTAGTTTTTTCTAACTCGTTGTTTTTTAAAACCCAAAACGTACAAACAATATTTTTCACTTTGCGTGGGTCTATTCAGTAATATTTTAGTTAACGCCTTTTTTTCCATATTCTGAGTTGATATGAATAAGCTACTATACTTTGACTAAAACATTATGTTTATTTTTCTCCGAAAATACTTTTTGTTGTGTGTAAAATCCTCCAAATTGGATTTATAAAAGATCCGGGTTTTTTGCTTTAGGTACTTTATTCGTAAACATTTACAGGATTCCTAACAGATTTTCTAGACAAAAGCTGAAAATAGATATTCATCGGTTTTATTTCTGTTGATTTCTATGTTTCCTCAACTACGACAGAAAATTACATGACCAACTTATACCAATTTAGTGAAAACCTTATCATAATGTTTACGTACCTAGCTTTGCTTAAAATCGTTTTTTGGTCACGATCGTTTATCGTTGTTTTCAGTAACTATGCAAACTGAATAACCAACAATATACCTTTCCAGTTCCCCACCTATAACAATGGCCTACCCGTCAGGTGTTTTTGTTTTTATAATAAAAACTCTTTCTGTTAGAATCTTTTAATTAGTGGTTGTAGATTTATCGAAAATTGTTTTATTTCAAATTGAGTATGTTGTAACTACAGATATTATAAATGTATTTATATGTGGTTCTGTATAATCCGAAATTGAATAGAACTGATTTATAGAGAAAATAAAAAATAATAATAATAAAGTAAATGCAATTACAATAAAAAGACAGACAAAGATTGATTTGTATATTAATAGCTGTCATGTATACAATGTATACCCTTATAACATTTCCGAGTTACGGGGTTTTTTTTTGTTTGAAAAACTTCAATTTTAATTAAAAACACTCGATAACTGCGCGCCTTCCGTTTCATACCTATTTGTTTCGCTCTATACACATTTATATCGGTCGCGAGCCGACCTAATATTGATTCGCAGACTTTTTAGGATAGGCTAACGTTTAAATTAAATGTTACGCGTCTTAAAACTAATCGCGCGAATTTTGTCCTGCCGGACGCAAATTCGTTATTTCGTACGTTCTAAACACGGATAAAACGAACCCGGGTTTCACGTCCTTTTTTTAAACACTAACTAATATAATATTGTCAGTAAACCTTTTTCGAACGGTGCGCTCGACGCTCGTCGTTATATTATTATTAAAAGAGTCGGTCGAGTATTCGGCTCGAATCGACAAATATTATCTGGGTATACTTGTTAACTCAAATACCCGAGTATTCGTAATTGTTTTGTTTAAACAAAATAAATGTATAATAACCACCTAGGTATAAATATCTTCAATTTCCGATAAAGAGACAGTGTTTATTAGTTTGAAATAGACTGCCATTATATTATGAAAACGGCATGTTTCGTGTTTAATTTAAAGTATGTCGAATATTCGAGTAGTCGAAGATTTTTTTTTTTTTTGCTCGAGTATTTGATTTAACTCGGAGTACTCGACTTTTGAACTCGATTCAATTTCAAATAACCAAAACTCGCCCAACTCAAATTGTTAACAAAGACAAATATCTACACCAGTAAATTCCAAGCTATATTTTTGCTTACAGTAATTGTTTTATGGTACGCACATGCTTACATATTCCGTATTTCTTCTTTGAAGTTGTCGGTATCTTCGTTTTTCGTTCATCATAATAATATTACAATAATTGTGACTATCCACCTTGCGATAATATTAATCGAGCACGGCTTACCCGTAATCATTCGCTTTAATTAAACGGTAATGCGTATAGGCGTCCATATTTCACACCATCGAAATCCAATTACACAAATGACAATATCGAGTGTTTCGCTTTTCCTGAAAAAATTGTTAAAATATCATTATGAAATTTCATCGGGTAACCGACGATTTACTTAATGAGTAAAATAAAATAACTGATACTCAAACTAGTTGGGAAGTTAAAATATGTGATACAAAGTTATTTAATTTATATCTGTAAGTGGTAATAAGCCATTAAAAACGATTCTGAGCGAATTCCGATAAATATGCCGCAATTTTTATTATTTATAAAAAAACCAACTAAATTACGTTTAATTTTTAATTTTTTTTTTTTTACTAACAAGTTCAACTTATACCGAACCTCGTGTAATATGTTCAAAAATTTCTGTTTTATCAAACAATTGTATTCATATAATACCTGGGTATTAAATAAAATTTAAAAAGTACTACAAAATATAAAATGTCTATTAATAGCTCAAAAATCGGCAGAATTTTTTGAAAATTTTATTGTGTCTACAAAAAGATAATAGAGATATTCTATATAACAAAAAATGTTTATTTAATTTAATCATTCTAAACTGATTTACAACAAAACAAGAAAATCGAAAATAATGAAACCGTTATTTCCTTTCTACATACGGGTTTCCAAGTTATTCCTAATTATAAAAAACCCCACGAAAAATAAAATAAAACAAACTCCTTATATGCATTGGCTTAACAAATTTTTCTTTCTAAAAATATGCTACTCTTTATACTCTTTTTATACTGGGTTTATCTCCACAATTGTTAATCTTAAAAAAACAAAATCGATTAGATTAATTATTTTCATATTATATTTTTGAGCACATTTTTTATGCGGATAATATTTTTCGTTTCAAACACTAACACTTATAAAATGCAAAATTATTTCTATTCAAGATCTCAAGATGGAAAATTATTAAATCGAAAAAATATCTATTAACAAATAGACATAACAAAAGTACCGGAATACACCCCTGAAAATTTTACGTCCAGGATAAATTCTAGCCTTACCCACTAGTTTCGATCCTAGATCCCTAGATATAGATACTTAAACATAATTAATTATTGCTATTATTGTATGTTCAGATGGAGGATGTTGAATGTAATAATCACGAAAACCGGCTGATGTTCAGTTTACAACAAATGATGAACTCCGAACAGTTTGCAGACGTTATTATATGCTGCGCTGATGGATACAAATTACGAGCCCACAAAGTCGTACTGTCATATTGCAGTTCATATTTACAAGTAAGACGAGTAAAATGTTCAATTTTTCCTACTTCTAACAATAAAATATGCGGGGTTACCGCGTGGTTCTATTTTATTTGAAACATATTTCATATATTTTAAATTCTTAACGGTTCATCCCCTATAAATCCTTTTGTTAATTTTGCTCTGAAAACCGTTTTTCGGTTGGTACTCTATATAGGAACTATTTTTCTAAATTCCAGACAGTTTTTCTAAAAAACTAAAAACAAAAAAACTAATGACAATTGATTTAATTATTGTTGATTTCTGGATTACCGTGGCCACAAGGGAAAAAATACACTACTTTTGGGAATATATTACCAATTTAACGTACTCCGCTCAGAATTATTATTCGATTGCGATGACTTATCGGTTGTTTTCGGTATATATTTCTAACTTAACCTAACGAAAATACATCTAACCGAACCTTCTCATTTAACTCTCACATGTACCCTGAGGCCTACACACACACGGAGTTTGAAGTGTATGGCCGAATTTTGTCGTTTGTTGTTACTATATACTATAGACAACCAAGATCTCGTACGAAACACAGACATTTTCTTTTATCCGATGGATTTTTTCGATTTAATTTAATTTTTCAATTTTACGTCCTTTGATACATTAAACGTACGTTAACGTATTATATAACGACACGGTCAGGTGCATAGTGTATAGTCGATTATTATTGAAGTCAGCAACTACACACAACGCGCAATGCGTTCACACCGTGAAACCGTCGCATCAATGTTTAATAATGATTGTAATAATTATTTATTCAATTCGCCGATCACGCGTGTTACCGCAGTACCTAGTAATTATTATCAACCACGCATACATACGTCATATAGCATCGTTATTGGAACGGATAAAATCGCGAATAATTATTATAAATTATGAATACACGCACATAGTTGACGGTAAACAAATAATTACAGGAGAATTCTGTTCGACCGGAAACCGCCAAATGTATCGTGTTCAAAACTCCTATTAAGAGGCCTCTCTCTCGGTTTTTCTAACGAGAAATATATAGTGAAAATGTGTTCACCCAAAACGAACGAAAAGACCATAAGAATCGGTATTTATCGATAAAACGTCTATTATGCCATTTTTTAAATTACAAGATTTTGAAAACAACTTCTTCGGGGGTTTTTTCTCAAACTATTTAGTTATTGAAAAAAATACAATTCTTTCTACCGTACCACCGACAATGATTTAGATATTCATATCGAATTATCGACGAGATTATCTTTAAAATGGTGTCATATACAAATTGTGTAATATGCTTTTTATGTACGTAGACCCGATTTCAAAGGCATTTTCGGTATTTTATTTCGTTTAATGTGAACGCATTTTTTTCTATAAAAATACGTTACTTAGGATGATAATTATAGCGTTTAGGTTGACAATAGAGAAACCCAAAAGACTCTGCCGATCCCGATACCGCTAGTCATATAGTCTAACAATAACTTGTCGATTTTGTCACCTACCAATTATTACTAGTAGTCGTTCTGGTTCCTCCTTGAATTTGAGAACATAATATTCTATAACACTTTTAATTAATGCATTTCTACTTATGCGTACGTACATATTTAACAAAGTTTGTGCCAAACAATTTTTTTATTTCGATAAATAACTAAATTGATTTTTCGACCAACAGCTACGGTTTCAAAATTCATTATTGCGATGCATGCCACTAACTAATATATCGTTTCATGTTAGATTATCCAGAAACTAGCTTTATCAAGTCAGTATTCCGAGTTAAAATGCCTTCATTACGGGTAATACATTATATAGTCATTTTTATTATACCTATTTCAGATAAATTTAAACGTCTAAATAGCTTATTTTTTGTTCAAAAATTTTACATTTTTCATTAAGTTTCCAAATCCGTTAAAATTACACATTCTAACTATCTTTTCTCCAAAAGAAAAAGCCTGCCGCAATCGACGAATCCCTGAGATTAGTGTTCATAAATAGATGTAATATAATTTAAAGAGGGAAATATTTTTGAGGACACCATCATGTTGATTTTTGTCTAAATAATAGTGCCAAACAAAAAATCTACAGATCTTTTTATTTAAAAATAAGAAAAATAGAGAAAAACTGCTGTATTTCTTTAGTTTGACAATATTCCGGGTGAAAAAAACAGCGCGACGAAACCTTCGAAAATATTCTCCTATTTTTAAACTATATTACCGGTGTTTAAACTGTAAATTATGTCAACCTAAACGCCACTATTTCAATTCTAATTTCGTAGTTTTGTTATTATGTTGCCCGTTAATTGGACTCAGATGGTAAATTCGGATATTACGTAATCCTTTTAAGTAAATTCGTTAAAATTCAATTAAATTGAAAGCAATGAAAACGTGTCAGTGTGATAATTTCGCGTGATCCGGTGATAAATGCGATTTAAGGACGTTGCCCACAGGGAACCGAAGGGTACGCTGTCTCCTGCGAAAATGGAGTTATAGTTTTTGAATTTATTTTATTAGGAGTGTCAATTGGGATCATATTAGTTGTTAATGTCCGTGGACCGTATGAACAAATGAAAATTTAAAACTTCCGAATTTCCGCTCGTCATAGGTGTTACTTCAAACGAATTTGGCTCAATCCTGTTATATTATGAATGCGGAAGTTTGTTTGAGGATGAATTCCTCCTGGAAGGATAAATGTACGTTTGTTACTCCTTTACGCCCAAAAAATATGATTTAACGCATTGATCTGAAACTTTGCATATAATATGTGGTTCACGACCAGGAAATCTATATACGTATAGATAGCATATAGGTTATTTCGTTCATTATTCATTAGCAATTTGCATTCTATCGCTCAATCAGTAATAGCGTAATGATAATTTTTATTAGGCAGCTGGTATTATTGTATATTTATACATTTTCTTTATCACCGTTGATTTTCAATATCCTATGTATCCTAATACGTTATATAAATATAACATAATAACGACGAAGACCTTGTATTTTACGATATGTTTTGCATATATTTGTCTGTAGGTCCACCGTGTCGAAATAGCGGCGAATTCCGACAGAGAGTTGAAAGTGTGTGCATTTAGTGAAATCGGTTAAAAATAATTATATTAGCCTGCTCTTAATTTTTAGAGAGGTTTCGATATTGCTTGTTATATACTCGAGTCTTCAGAGACGTTCAAAAGGTGAATTTCTTTTAATTATAGCCGCTTTTTAGATTCTGAGCGTAGGGAGGAATGTATAAGTTGCAATAAAATTCTATTTTTTTTCTTGTCGTCTGTAAACGACTTTTCTACCACAAATCTATAGGTACAATCAAATATGACAAGAGGATCATTTTTACTGAACATTGAATTCAATTGTTTGATGAGTAAGAGGCCGTATTTTAATTTTCAAATCAGCTTTCATAATATTTGAAAAAACCGGAAATAACATAGGAAATACAAATTAAGTATACGACATGGTTTTGTTTTTTCTGATTTTGATTTTTGTTTATTAATCGGTTAAAAATTATCGTAGAGAGCAAAAATATTCACAAAATATATAAACAATTAACATAAGAAGTTCAAAAATTTGTATTTCTTTTTTTATAAACGTTTTAATTTAAAATTTTTTCCAACATCTAAAAAATTATCGACTACCTAATAAAAACTTCACCCATAATTGTTTTTCGTTAGCAATGGTTTATCGTTATTAGTTAAATAACTTTATATATTCTATATCTTCCCGATTTCCCACCTACAACAGTGGCACACCCATCAGCAGTATCAGTTATTCTTTTGTTTTTTTTTTTTTTAGTTTTGTGTAGATTTGGTGAATTCTTCTTTGACGATGGAATGTTTACAGAAAATATTGTTGATCGAATAATTTCTAAAATGACGAACCACGTGGCTGACTGGCTGTGATTTGATTATTGAATGCGTTCAAGTTCGTTAGGATTTTCTAATGAAATATTGGTATTTTGATATGTGAGAGAATATGCAAGAATTTAAATTATATTTATATTTTCAAATTAATATGTTTATTCGAAATTTGCTCAAAATTGTTTTTCGTTAACACAGATTTATTGAAATGAAATATTTTATACATTTTACTTTTCGAACACTTCGTCTACAACAGCGGCACACCTATTATCAGTATCAATGCTTTACTTTTTTTTTTCTAAAGAATATTACCAAGAGTTAAAGGAATATTTTCCAAATACTCCCAGTTCCCCGGTACGTTCCTCGAGCAATATGCCTGATTGAACATCACGGTTCACGAGCATCAGCTTTTTTTAGATTCCGCCCGGTGTGAGGAATGTATTGCTTTTAAAACGAAAAACAAAATATTTTCCGGTATTTCCGTAAAAAAATTGTATGGATCTAGAAGTCATACAATAATTTGTGCATACGGTGAAAAAGTGTTAAAATGACTTCAATGATTTCATAATAAATAGGGAAAAAACGGAAAAATGGGAAATTTACGAAATGTACTATTTTCAAATCGTGAATATTACGGCCTTTCAAAAACGTGTGCAACCGAACTCCGATCAGCGTCGTTTTTCGATAACGATGGTTAACCGTTGGGTACAGATATGCATTCGATTTCCCCTCTGTCCTTCCAACTTCTCGCCGCAACAACAGTAACCCGGCCATCGTGCGAAATATGTCCGTTTTTTTTTTTTTTTTTTTTTTTTGTTTTTTTTTCTAAAATTCATTTTTCGGTTATTGTCGCTAAATATTTCCGAACGCGTCGGAATGGAATAATCGTATTAATAAGTACTTATTCGATTCGCCGGGCACCACGCGTCCACGACGTGTCGGTGCCCGGCCGTCGGGTAACTGCTCGTTATTATTGTTCATTTTTTCGCGACCTACTGCACGTGAACTCAGATATTATTATTGTGATGCGTATAACACGGGAACGAAAACCGCCGAAACAACAATGCAATTAATAAAAACCGTGCGCCACGTTGAGTACCGTAGTTAATCGTTTGCCGTTTACGCGTACCCATTAGCATAATACGAAAGCCGCGCGCCACGTCCGAAATACGATTACGGATTAATTGTTATTGTCGCTCGCCGCGGCGTTTTGCAGAACATGTTCCTCGGCCACCCCGGGCCGGACGACAGCGTCACGATCATCCTGCAGGACATCGGGCGCGAAGACGTGGAACGGGTCCTGGAATTCGTGTACACGGGCGCGGCCGTCGTGCCAGGCCACGCGATGGACGGTTTCGTGACGGCGGCCGGTGCGCTGGGTATCGGGCCGCTGCTCGACCCGCGGGGGCACCTGGAAATGTCCGCGGTCCACCAGCCGCCACCGCCGCCGCCGCAGCCGTCGCACGGCCGTCATCGGCCGTACCATTATCGCGGTCGACCGGCCGTCGTCGAACACGCGAAGCACGCGACCGGGCCGGCGTACCAACGGACGTCGCGGCTGTCGCCCAGGACCACGGGAATCCTGACCCCGTCGCCGTGGGCTCAAAATTCCCGGCCGCCGTGCGCGGCGCCCAAACACTCGGCCCCGCACTGCGGCAGGACCGCCGCCGATCCCCACGTGGAATCCACCGGGGCGGTCACCCCCGCGGTCGTTATCGCGTCAACCGTTTCACCGACACCATCGCCGATGCATACTGCGCCTACTACGGATACCGCGCTGCCACTAACGACGATGTCCGCCACAGAACAACGGCCACCGCCGAACGCCGCCTCTGCAGACGTGTCCGCGACCCAGACCGCGGTTAAGGTAATGCGCTAACGCGTTATTATTTAATTCAAATTACACAGTACGTCCCATAGATACTCCGAAAATCGCCCGAATGTTTTGAACGTTTTCGTCGCAGCCAATTATTATTCGGTGAACATTGGATGGCTCTACGATTTTTTTTTAACCGAATTAAAAAAAAAAAAAAAAAAAAAAAAAAACTGTCCTAGCATAATAGGAATGGGTGCAACCACTTTTATAGCTAATTTATTGTATACCTGTAAGGAACGATAAACCATAAGTGATGCTTTGTCAATAATATTATAGTAAAATGATTAAGTAGGCTCCATATATTTTTTTCAATAATATTTCTTTAATGTTGTACCGATTTTCCTGGTTTTCCCATGTTTATCCCGGTTTTTCACATTTGCCTGGAAAACTCTTGGGAAAATCAAAAATGAACATCCTAAAGTACCCCCCCAGTTGGTTTCTTTTAGAAACATTGCTATCATTATAAATTGGAACAAAATTTCCGGTGGAAAAATTGTGCACAGAAAAAAAGAAGGCCGTAATATATTTTAACTAAAAGCTACATTTCTTATATTTTCCCGTTTTTCTTCCATTTTTTTTTTTTTTTTTTGGTTTTTTAAATTAGATGAGAAAACTTTCGAGAAAAAAACAAAAAATAAGCCCCTTAAAGTACCTCTCCACATAGCGATTTCTTTTCAAAAAAGGTGCTACACTTGAAAATCCGAGCAAGTCTTCTGGTAGAGAAGTTGCGCATGAATAAAAATAAAATAAAATAAACATCTTTGTAAAACCACAAGCGTCTTCGCTCCACTAAGAATTTAAAATCGAATATAATGAAACCGATAACACCGTTAACTTTCTTGTATTCCTTACATATTTCTCCGGTTTTTTCCGAATTACTAAGAAAATTACGGGGAAAATCGAAAAATTACCACCTTAATAAACCAACTAAATCCAAAATTGAACAAAAAAATTATTTCTAGTCGTTTTTTAATAGGCGCAAGATTTCTGATAGAAAAAATGCTCGTGGACACACACACACACACACATATAAAAAAAAACACGCAAACCATAGTAAAAAAAAAAAAATACGTTCCTCGCTCCGTTCTGAATTTAAAGTTCTCTACGGCTGTCATAAGAATTTTAAAATATGAAACTAATAGCCAGTGTTCTAAAAAATAAATGTTAAAATATCTAGATAAAAACACGGGACAATCGCTAGAATAATTATTTAGATAAATGTATATAATCAGCAACTTTGTGTCTATAGGTGAAAAAAAAACTAGATAATTTTGTTCGTTGTCTTAGACAATACACAAGTGTTAAATAATATTGCGGTTTAATTATTTATTTCGGATAACATCTCGGATGACTTATTTTTCGTTTATCTATAGTAGATAAGATATTCTTTATCAAGATAAAAACACAACACTAGTCAGTGTTGTGTTTTTATACTATACGTTAATAATAATAACCCGTCGGTCGTAATAGTAGTGCACGTACACTCCTCGAAACTGCCATGCACAATATACAATAATATCAATACGCAATACGGTCTGTCGTATCCCGCGGAGGTTTCATAATCATTATTTTCAGTTAGTACGACCGCCAGGTAGGAAATGCAATTTTCATTACTCCGCCCGGTCGTCGTAAAACGTTATAAACCGACACGGTACGCATTATGCAAATTAAAAAACTCAACGTCATCGCTACAATAAACGCTATAGTAATATAACACCTACCTATACCATGCCGCATATACTATCATTTGAATCCATTACGGAAACAGGTAGGCATCTGTATTATTATTATATTGCGGCAGTATTGCAACGTACAACGAATTCAAACTTGTACCTGTTTGATTTCTTATGCGACTGAAATTTTATTCCGATCGTACCCACCTATAATATTATAATCGTAATCGCCCGAGAGTGAATGTATTTTTTTTTTTTTTTATTATTATTCGTCCCGGTACACGCGAGAAACGAGTAAAATTTCGTTTCGCATACGATTCGTTTTATTAAACAAAAATCGTATGTGTAAATAGTACTCGCGTGGAATTAAAAAAAAAACCGTTTTATTGCGCACCCCAATTATTACTACTCGGCGATAGAGCGTGTTAATTTTAGCGTTCCATTAGTCGGCCGGGTTTACAGACTCGTGTTAAAAATATCAAATCGATATTGCCGAAGTAGGAATCGCTTTTTTCTTTTATTCCCGGCGAAGCGAGGAACGCGTATTTCGTACTTTTACTGCGACGGGTGTTTTTTTTTTTTTTGTCTGTAAAAGTATATGCCAACCCGATCCGAAAGACTCGCAATCATCGACTTCGGGGGTGGTTTTCGAAAGCGTGTTACGGCTATATTTACAGGTGCATGTGTGTTCGGAAGACAACCGCGGTAAAAATGTAATTAACTTGTTGTAGTTCAGCGAAAAATAACCGTAGACCCAGGACCATAGTCCTTAACGTATAAGATAAGATCCACAGATCCACGGATCCATAGATCCACGTCTTAACAGTCCACTTTTAAGTTTGGGTCGGGGAGAGTAGTGGAGCAGCGTTTGTGTAGCGGCACGGTGCGTGACGTGTTAATAATACACCACTATAATTGGCTTCTACTCAGAGAAGTATTGAATATCTCGTCAATGGATCGACGGAAATCAAAAATATCAACAGCATAACAAACATTCAGTCTATTTATGGAATCGTTAACATTGTTTACCGTTCGAAAATCAAAAGTAGACAGTGGTTTTACTCCGAAAAATAAGGGTGACGAAATTGTAGAGTCGCTTGTTTGTTAACGTGTTTTGAAAAAACGAAATTCCGGAAAAAAATTATACTCTCCGAGGTAATGAGCGTACCGCTTAAATGGATAGCTTCGTATAAAGTGTGTTGGAAAATCTAAATCTTGATTGTTATCTTCTCTCCTTCTCTTTTTCTTTCTCTCTTTTTCTCTCTCTATTTCTCTCTCTCTCTCTCTTTCCAGACATTATTTCGCCTTCCTACCGACACCGTGGTACATAAATTACCATTCACCTATTACTGCGGCAATTGATATGATATTCGTTTTATAATTTGGTCATTCTTCGATCGTGACCGGTCTCGTATTACACCTGTATCTGCACTCGAACCGTGAACGATATAATATTATAATTTTATGATTATCGAACACGACCGTCCGAAAACGAAATCACATTTTAAATGAACTTTCACGCAGTATTAATTATTTATTTAAACATTATGAGTGTAGCAAAGAAGCAATTACATATATAGTTTAATTAATGATTTGTTTTCACTCTTATGGAAAATACTGTTTCGGTTAGAAAAATTGCTCAGATTTTTCCGAGCCGTACTTGAGAAGACGAGGAATTTTGACCGGTAAAATTTTACTTAAAACACTATTTGAAATTTCTCACAGTTTACCCATTTTAATAATTCATGAGGTCTTTTTTTTTTTTGGACGTCGAACATTTTTTTGGTAACGGTCAATGCTCCAAATTTTTTGAAACGCGTACCTTTAAAAACGCGGAATTTTTGACGATGGTATTTTATTTTAAAAATTATTCTACATTCCCAACAGCTTTTTTATATACAATTTACAAAACTGACGAAAATTGTTTTCTTTTTTGATATCTGTGTTATCTTTTGGCTAAACAAGCTGAACATATCATTGTTCAAACAACTCCTATTATTTTTTTATTGTGACGATTTATCGTTGCTTTTAATATGCAAATTAAACTGCCTCTATACTATATACCTACACAATTTTCACCTAATACAGCCTTCCCATGGATCGAAGCAGTGATGGGCATAAAAAATAGTTCAAAAGTTAAATTTCTATTAACTTTTTATAGCCATTACTCATAATTTATGAATTTAAATTGAAAATTTAACTCGTTGTCATTCAGTCAATTTTGGTTTTAAAGCCATGGTTAAAAAGTCAAAATGACTTAAAAAAAATTATAAAAAGGCTAAAACTTTGAAAACTGTTAATGAATATGTATTTCAATATTCTCTAGCTCCTCCCGAGAAACTCCTTTCAATCTGAAGTCACTGGACATATGGACATAAATATTTCGTGTTACCTTTATAAGGAATCACACTATAATATTATATTATACATCTGTGGGTTGGTGCGAGAAGGGCCAATGTCAAAAAACTATAAAATCCTTCACTCTGCTCCGAGTCTAAAAAAAAAAAAAAAATACTTAAAATTTAAACTGAAAATTACAATGTAAAGTTCATAATATTATTAAAATAACTATACGATTTTTTTTGTTGACATTTGCCCTTCTCGAGCCAAGCTACAGTAAAACTATATTCAAATAGTCCTATATAGTTTCAGACTATTCTGTTTTGTTTAACACTAGTTTTTGGTCGATTTTGGCTCCATTTTGTCCGTTGTCGTTTGAAGTGTAATATCATTATTATGACGAGTGGATCTTAGTCACGTGGCTTTGCGACGTACTTCGTATTATATATTACTGCTCACACGATTATCTATAAGCGCAGCAATGGTGCAATCAGGATGAGCTAGGAGAGCTTAACTCTCTCTTCAGATCCTCTGAATCCCCCTCAGTGCAGAGACCCGTCAATCACATTTAATATTATAGTGGGGTTCAAACCCCACTAGGTTTATGAGTTAATCGCGCCACAAAAACTTTATACTTTCTGCTATACATACCGAGAGTATCCAATTAAAAATCCTACGTTTTTTTTTTTATAGTTTCTATATGATATTATCGATCGTACCTACATTATATTATTATGTTATTAACGTTGTATTTTCGAATTACTTCGTTCTTACGACGACCGCATTTACTATTACTTGCGTATACCTATAATAAAATTGTTATATATTATTTAGACATCGGTGGACTGTATACCCAAGTAGCTAAAATTATAACCGTGTTCTCGATTTACACATGAAATTCATGAATCGTTTCGCCTATTTTTCACGCGTGATTGGTATAAATACGTTACCGCCTACGTCATTAATCTTATAAAATAGTAATATTATATAAACCCCGAATATTGGTTTCAATCATATCGAGCGGTTTTCGCCTTTCTAGAATACGGTGTTTACCTACCTGTATAATATATTGTAATAATCCGCGCGTAAATCCAATTATAACTATAACCCGTTTTCGTCATAAACGGTTTTACAAATACAGCCAATGTAACCTCCGTGGTAAACCTAAAATTTCAGCCGTCACTTACAATTTAGCGGCTATTTGTTTGACGATTCGTTATTATAGGATTACCATACACAAATATACGATCAGTGGGTATAGGTATTGGTATAATGTGATAAACGATGGTTTTTTGTAGTGATGGGCACTTCCGAATGCGCAGCAGTAGTATAATTAAAGGAAGCCAAACAGGCTAGGCCTCAGTGACATTCACCTAAGACTTTCTTACTGAGGGGGGAGGAATATATTTGCATCTACTCATAAATCAGAAAACCTTTTGAAAAAGTAACGTCACAGCTACGACAATTTCATTACCAGACACAGAAATTAGGCTCTTTATATTTGTAATATATAACATTTGAATACATAAAATTAGAAATTGTATTTAATTAAATTTGAATAAATCTAACCGCCAAAAAGAAATAATAACACCAGAAACCATGACCGGTTCGACCATTATAACAAAAATATTTTGACATCTATATATTTGACCATGTTAGCATATTATTAACTATTATATGAAAAAAAATTTCAAAATAATTATAAAAATTTTAAAAACAAATAACAATGCACACATATCACAATTATATGGTTAGGGAGATGAATTCACTTTCGAACCTCTGGGTACGGCTTAGCCTTCTCCCTAGGTTGTACAACGCCTCAGTGCAGAAACAGAGTTCCATCAGTTATCTTTGTTTAATATTAGTAATTTAATATAGTGGGGTTCAAACTAATGTTTTTGAACTAATTGTGCCACTGAAGTGCGAGTATACTTTCAGCTGTAAATAGCACCTGCTCTGATCTGACCGATCAGATCGGAAATCTGATCATTTTGTGTATTGATCACAGAACTTTTCGTTTTTATAGGTCACGCGTCATAATGTCCAAAGCGAACCATCGCCGTCCTCAGCTATGCCGCCGCCTAGTCTGCAGAAAGAACTTATTACCGTCGTCACTGCGATACCTTTGACGAGATTGTCCGACGACGAAAAGGACGTCGTGAAACCGACCGTTACCTGCAGCGACGCCAACAACAACGGTATCCCGGAAAAAGATCGGAACGCGAATCAAACGAAAGGTCATGTTTGCCAAGAATGCGAGAAAACATTCGTAACCAAAGCGTCTCTCAAGGTGAAATTATAATCCTATTAAATATTATAAATGCGAAAAGTTATTTAGATGGACGGATGTACCCAAACTACTGAGCGGATTAAGCTGAAACTTTGCATAGATGTACTTCTAGACCAAAAATTATAAGCTATTCTTTTCTCCCTCTTATTCAAGCTCTTAAGTGGAAGTAACACGGAGTTATTGATATTTTTATTACGAAAATCGAATTATGTTTGTCGATTTATAGTTTTTCTCGGCGATACGGATGAAATAAATAAATAATAAAATAATCCGTAAAATGGCCGTAATAGTTGTCACTAGGATATTTAATCCTTAAATACTTAATAATTAGGTTAATTAATCCGTTAATGGATTGTTAATAATTAATTCGAAATTTCGTTTAGACACAGCCCTTTAAATTTTATGCATGTTACATATGATAGGATATCAGGACGGTTGCCAACCTTTTTTCTAAAGCTAATTTCCCGAACAAACTTTTTTCCGAATAGTATATTTCCCGAGGAGTATTTATACAAAAATACTACAGCGCGTGTTGTCCTGCGACAAACCAAATTTAACGAATTCAGCGAATATTCGTTCGACGTCGTCGTATCGTAGTAATGTTTTTTTTTTCTTTCTTCTTAATTTCCGCAGATTCACCAGAGGACCCACACGGGCGAAAAACCGTTCGTGTGCGAATCGTGCGGCAAACAATTCAGTCAGCTGCGCAACTACAAGTATCACAGGTCGGTGCACGAGGGCACCAGGGAGTTTTCGGGCAGTTGCCCGGAATGCGGTAAACTGTTCAACGACCGCGGTTACCTCAGTTCGCACATGAAGATCCACCGGAACCGGAAGGAGTACGAGTGCGAGTACTGCGGCAAGAGTTTCAACCAGCGGGTGGCGTACAACATGCACGTGCGCATACACACGGGCGAGAAGCCGCACCGCTGTCACCACTGCGGTAAATCGTTCACCAGGAAAATGCTGCTCAAACAGCATTTGCGCATACACACGGGCGAGAAGCCGTTCACGTGCACGGTGTGCCACAAACCGTTCGCCGACCGGTCAAACATGACGCTGCACATGCGCCTGCACTCGGGCGTCAAGCCGTACGCATGCGCGGTATGCGGTAAGTCGTTCACCAAGAAACACCACCTGAAGACGCACATGAACTACCACACGGGCGTCAAACCGTACTCGTGCGACAAGTGCGGCCTGAGCTTCAGCCAGAGCAGCAACATGAGGACGCACCTGAAAAAGTGTAACATTGTCGCGACGACGACGACTCCACCGCCAGCTCCATTCCCGGCCGCGACGGTGGCGGACGATCGAAACTCTACTCGGCTGGCCGATCCGTTTTCGGGCGGTCGAGAAGTTATTGTGGTCGGCATGACTTGAAATACCGTTCTTGACTTTTCGCGCCGCCCAAAGTGCGCACGTCGGGACTCGAAGTCCTAAACTTTGTCGTTTTTTATTATTTTTTTTTTTTTTTGAAATATCTAAATTCTTCTTTTTTTACTAGATAGTATATCTGCTATGTACAGGTTTCATTATTAACCTCGTCGTTTTGTGTAATATTATAGGTAGTTATGAAAACAAATTACTGTAATTTTAAATTGTGTGAGATTATTTGATTTTGATAATTTCTCAGGTCTGATCAAAAATATTCATTCGAACATGTGTGTTTTCCCCCGCCTATAACGTTTCAGTTTTGAGACGAGTGTTTGAACACATTTCGTCCTGCTGAATGATTCCCCCTCAAAATATCCCCATTCAAAATAATCCCGTTAAAATTATCCTATATTGAAAACAATTCTTGGTTTTAAAACAAACAAAAATATTTTAGATATAGAACTATACATAAAACTATGATATTTCCTATATTAAGATATTTTAAAAAGAGATATTTTTATTGTGAGATATTTTTAAGTACTTAAGCTTTCTATATTATCGATTCATAGGTCAAATCGATCGACGGTTTGGTTTTAATTATACTCGTGCATATACTATACAGAGCAATCTACTCGTATTCATTATGAACTAGCGATTTTCTCGGAGGATTTCACATGGATTTGATTTCTGTTTTTTCTTTTTCAATTTATCATCTTTAAAGAATCGATATGAAGTTTATTGCCCTTTCCTAATCCTTCAGTTTAAGTTTTAAACTGTTATTATCACAAATAAACAATAGATTCGATATTGTGCATATAAACATAATTTTTGAAAAATGTTCTTATTGATGTGAATCTGTGATTGAAAACGGAAATTCCTATTTGTAAACCAAAAGTGTAGGTAAATTCGTACAAGGATAGTAGGCGTAGGTGGAAATTAGGGCATGAAGAGAACTAAACTCCCTCAAAACGTATAAACAGAGAAATTGGACCCCCTAAAATATACCAAGTGTAAAGTGGTCAATATTCACTGATTATTACTATAAATAATACATGTATACATAACGTATAAATAGTCATTTTCAATTAAAATATTGTCTGAGCGCGAATAAGAAAAGTACAATTTTATAAAAAAAAATATATGGATAATATTATTTTAAAATTAATTATTTAATTTTTTTTGTTAGGTATTTTTGAACATGTACATTTTCAGAAGCGCAAAAACTGTATTTTTATGACGTAGCAGATTTTGAAATTCAAAACCATTCCACCTCAAAAACCTATACCCATATAAATATAGACTTTCTAATCCTTACAACTTACTACTTTGAATGTGTATAAGTAGGATGATTTGGTATGTTCCAAAGCCTCAGCTCCATGCTACCATCATCTCCACCTCATTGCTCCACCTCATTGCTCCACCTCAATGAGGTGGAACATTGAGGTGGAGCAATGAGGTGGAGCAATGAGGTGGAGATGATGGTAGCATGGAGCTGAGGCTTTGGAACATACCAAATCATCCTACTTGTATACGCATTCTATTCGATTATCCCAAATCCCAATTACCGGGAACATTCAGCCACCTAAAAAATGATGTGTAGGCGTGTAGCGATTGCTACTCTCGAAGTATAGTTTGGACGCCACTGAACAATTTGAAATTTGACGTATTTCTGTAATTTGTAATATTATGTTTCAACGAAACAAGGTTATTACTGTAATGAAATATTTGATATTTTCGTTCTTCATTGAAATTCTTATAACATCGTCAAATAAAATCGTTAAGTTTAAATCTCGTTAATTAAAATTAAATTAATCGATGTTGCTAAAATTATTTCGGTGATTCATCATCATTTCATCTACCTATCTTTCTTAAATCTTTAAATTAATATTTCAAAAATGCTAATTATAATGCATATACATACTATTACTTACCCGTATATGTATGGATATAGAACCTCTAAAATAAATCACACTTAAGTTTTTCACGGTGGTTAAGGCAAGATGATTTATTTAAGCGCAGACAGCGGCTTTGATAAACAATAAACTATTTTAAAATGTCAGCACCCTCTAAAATTATGAACAATTTCCGCCTGTGATAATTTGGGTATCAAATTGAAAAAATTATTGTAATAAAAGTCGAACGATTTTATATAATGTAAATGATGTAAAAAAAAAAAAAAAAACAGGAAAAATCGACGAAGAAAATCGCTGGTTCGTGATAAATGGATTACCCAGTATTCACGAATATCACGTACATTGTAGACTATCTCAAAACCGAAACGACAATACTATTCTGATTTCGAGATTTTTCGATAAGTACGTACGTCTTGGGCGAGATAAATAATTTCTCCTCGTAATGCCAGCGACGGTTTTAATATAATATTACGTTATCCAATATCATAGTTCGACATGCATCACCTCGCGCAACGTCACGAACCTAGTGATCCGCGGGGGCACGATGATGGGTGCGTCGTGTGCATACCTGTAAGTGCTATTCGGTCGATTAATAATTTTTACTTTGCTCGGCCATTAAAAATTTATTTTAATACACATGTATAAATTATTTTACAGTCAAATACGATCGGAATGGCGACCGACCCGATAGCGTATTTACAGACGTTTACAATGTGTGTACGAGTTGATTTTAGGAAGTTTTAAAACAGTTTTACAAGGCATTTTCTACTTGCTGGACCAAATCTGGTAATGCTGGAAGTTAGAGTTCTAAGTGCGAAACTATAACCTACACTAGTTATTCTTTGACGAAAAGCCACCTCAGATTTGGATAAAGCAGCGGGAAAACGGAAAAACATAACCGAATACCTTGCACCTTTAAAACAAGACCACCATAGCTCGAAATTCGGCATTTTCGACATATCAGTAAAATCGCAAAAATATTCTCTAAAAAAAAATTAGACCTCCACAACGGAATATACTAGTATTATCTACGACGCCACAGTAGTGTGTATTTTTAACTTGTTTTCCTTTTAATGAAAGCAATACTATCACGTTTTTCAATATCGTTGTATTGTTTTGCGATAAATTACATTTTAATGATATTCTGAAAATTCAAAACTGCCACGATTACCATTTACGGAGTTTACAGTTAATTTGTTAGTACTAATATTAATAATGACGACTTTCCATTAAATAAAATGTAATACAGCCCCGAATCAAATTATGGCGGCCGCACTCCGCTAGAGTTTAAAACGAAAATCCATCATAATTAGTACATGCATTTTAGTGCACTTAAAATCCACAAAAAAACATTTATAAACGCCAAAAAAGCTCTAAAACTCACTTAAAAATATTTAAAAGAGCAATAAAGGAGTTTAAAAGTTTCCCCTTATCTGGTTTCTAACTTATTAGAAATAATTTTTTAACACTAAATAAATCTTTATTTTAAAGTGATTTTTTCAAATAAATTTATACGTGTTATAAAAAATAAAATGTTTTTTGTTAATCACTTTTCAGTATTAGAAAAACGTATTTAATGGGGTAAGAATTATCGTCTACCATTTTTAGCATTTTAAAATATTTTTAAGTGCTTTTTTAACGGTTTAAGCGTTTTTTTACGTATCTTAAGTGTGTTTAAATCCGTGCCCTAATCATAACCACAGAAACGGAAGATATCTTAATAGTGTGTGTGCGTGTGCATAGTTTTTAAACGCGTCAAACGTCAAACGATACGCGTTTCGTTGTTATAACTCGAAAATCGGCACGTCGGTAAATAACTGAAATTTAAAACAGGCGCGTTTTTCTCAAACCAACGTGACGAAAATGGAGCGTCGTGGCGATCTTACGAGCGAGGTCCGTAAAAAATCCAATAGTGTTTTCCCGGAGTAGTTCGCGTCCTAAGCGTAAAACGGAAACGCTGGGTCCCGATCGACGGAGGAGCGTACGTTTACTTAGAGCCGAACTCGGATAAGGTCTGTAAATGCGCGACCCGACACACGACTATATTATGTACGTAAATATCGTAACAGTCGACTGCTGCTGCTGCAGGTGTCTGCCTTCGCGGTATATCTCAATCCTGACGAATGACAGCGCGGTGTCTGTGAACGATTAACGTTTTAGAACATAAAATCGCGTTCGCGCTCAGAGCGGTTGTAACCGACAGTATAATACGCTATCAATTATTGTAACGCGCGGTCGGTATCCGCACGTCGTATGCAAACACGCCCGTCGCCCGCATACCCGTACGCGCGTAATAATAATAAAACCAATTTACGAACTCTTTAAACGGCTGTAACATATAAATACGGCAATACGCACGGCTATCGTCGGGTTTCGACGGTACACGATATATGTTTGTATAATAGTCTGTACTACACGTATGCCGCCGCGAGAAAATAACGCAGTTAATATGTTTCATACCGTTATTGTTATTATTATTATTATTATTACTACGTTAAGGCGCGCAAGTTTCAATAACTAAAAGTCTATCCGGACGTAGAGTTAAACGTTCCGCGCATGATTTTGTTCGCGTTTGTGTATAGGTAAATATCGAGTTACCGCTAGAGCGTAATATTTTTATCCGGCGTTAATTTTCGTACAACGTATTGTCACGAATAACAATTATCCGCAATATGCGTCATTCCCGTGACGTCACCCCCGGTCGTCGAGCCGTTGACGCCCGGTGTCGAAAAAACGTGTACCCGGCGCCCCGGGTGATGGCGTCGCGAACTCGGACAACAGCTCATTTCATATCTCCGAGAGAAAAAAAAAAATGTCACTATCACATAAACACAATTAAAGCCGTCCGTTGTTTACCGCGGTTCGGAATAATTATTAGTACTTGATCGTATGTGTTACGATATTCGTGTACTTGAACATAAACGACGAGTATTACTAAATTGCCTTGTGTTTAACGGAAAAAATGAAACCAATCTATGTCTGGCAAACCTAGTAAAAAAATAACAACAGTAAACGGAATAATTTTCAGGAACATAAACATTTTACAACGAGCGCTCGAGCCCTCGGGCATCTGCGCAGTACGTGGTGTTTATGTTTCGGGAATTTTTTACCTTCCACTTTTCTTGCCAATTCACTTCTTCCATCAATCCATCAATCGTTTCTCTGGACGTCTCTCTTTATTTTGAATAAGTCTCCGCTCAACAACCGGCTTTAGGTGTAAGTAATTACACTGATTCCGGTCTTCTCGTCACAATACGTCCAAACCGTTGGATTCTCTGTGACTTTACAAAATTGTTGTTACATTTACAAAATTAATTATAATTATTGCGGGGTTTAAAATTTCATAAAAATAATATTATATTCGCGTATTTAGTTAAGTAAAATTAGTTTTTTTTTTTTTTTTAAATTATAAGAGTGTAGCTTTTGAAAACCCGAATAAAATAATATATATATTATTAGTCGAAATAAAGTTTTTCCCGCGGGTTTCACATTATTATAATAATATTCCGCTACAGAAATCGTATATAAATATGATTTATCGAGGCGATTGAAAAAAAAAAACCGTTTTAATATAAATTATATTGCCGGCATTTGTATTTTTTTTTTCTCGTGACGATTGCTACCATTCGGTTTGTAAATCATTTTCCCGGCGGTTTCTCAAACGCGAAATTATCTTTGAGCGCAGGCCTCGTTTCTCGCCCCCGAGGTCGTAAACACGTCGGCGTTACGGTATACGAGTACGTCTCTATTTACAAATCAGCGACCGAAAAATAATATGAACGGGGCCGGCCGATCGGAGTCGTAACGATATATTCAATAATCGGCAATTATTAACCGAAAAAATAAAACCGCGTTCATTATAGCGGAGGAAGTTATATAAAACGCCGTTATTATACACCGGACGACGAGATACCGTCGTAAATCTAATAACCTAACCGTATAAATTGGATTTATGAGCTGCACGAGTGCCGACACAGCTTTAAGAAACGAGATATAGGTGGTTATCTATTATTATTTTTAACATCGTTAATATATTATTATTATACAGTCTCCTCTATGTATGTGTGTGTGTGTGTGTGTGTGCGATTGAACTTACACACACTGACATATAGCGTGTTTCAACCGGTTTTTAACGCAGAAATGCGTAGACGAATTTTCTTCTTTTTTTTTTTTCACCGCACAACACATGATGACCAGTACGCTGCTGCAGCGGGAGAACTGTCGAAATCGAAATACTATCGAATTTGTACGGCAATAATAATAACAGTATTAATATTATCTAAGATGATATCACTGATCCAAAAAATGAGCTCTAATAAAGTAATTTTCAGACGAGGAATAAATATTTTAAAAGACATTTACATGTGGATATAAGAACACTAAGCTCGTAAAAATGGATGGTGAGTTCATTACGAGAAGGTAAATCAATAATTATCTAGGCTGTGCATCGTGCGTCTCGAGGCTAAAGAAAAATAATTGTTTGCTGGTCTCAATATTTTCCAAAGGTATGGGGAAAACGTGTCCCCTTCTTGCACCCATGCAATAAACTAGATTGCTAACCGGCGATAAAAGAAATGAAGTTTCAATTCGAGACTTGAGGCTTGAATAATAGGGCCCTCGCCTTATTATTCACTTTTGTATTTTATATTGTGATAACTGTTATACCTGTGTAATATTGTTGACAATCACGGCCCTGTTCACCTAGTAACCATGGTAAAAAAACAGATACAACAGTTATCACTAAGGTGCACTTTGTATTTTTTTCTTAAACTCGCTGTGCGGCAAAGCTTGTATTATCACAAATTAGTTTTTGTACATTTTATGTACAATGAAAAGTTTATATTGCATTTTTATACAGTTTTTGACAAATGTTTAAATCATTTTCATAATTTTTCAGAGAATTTTAGTGTTTTAAGGAGCATTTTTGGAGATATGTGTGAATTTGAGTATACATTTATAATATTATAATTTATATCAAAATTATCAAAAAACAAATATTTACGGTATTATTTAAAAATTTGTATAGCATAAAAATAATTTTTCAAGGACATTCCTTAAGGTTTTATAGAGCAATACATTCCCAGCCCTAGTTATCACAATATAAAAGTTCAACCGAACGCATTAGTAGGATATGGGAGTTAGCGAGCTAGTTTATTGTGAATATCTGAAGTAGAACTACAACAGGTAAGTCGTAGGTATTATAAAGATGTCTTCCGGAATTTAGCGATATTGAATCAAAAGAATAGCATATACTCTAAAAAATTCAACGATCTGATAGTATTATTATTTTTTTTTTCATTCAATTCAATGTTACCAACTGTCAGTGATGCGCAAAGATAACTAAAAATTTGTCTAAATAAAAAAAAAAGTTAATTAAATGCAATTTATCTAATTAGAGATAAAAGATTTTTAAAATCTAAATTATCTAGATAAAGATAAATAATAAAACACTATTTATCTGGATAAAAAAAAAAGATAAAATTGTTTTAATTTTATTAATTAATCTACAATTTTTTTGTCAATTTCTACTTGAAAAATAATACAAATTAAAATGAACTTATCATTGATCTAATAACTAATAGGTATATAATATTCAATAATTATAATCGTTTAGAATAAATTATTTCACTCAAATTTTAAGATTGATTTTTATTGCTATTGATTGATAATTATTTTATATTTATTTACTTTTATCTGTAAATAATACTAGCCGTATTATAATGTTTATTTTTAAATGTTGGGTACAATGTATAGATTTTTTCATCATTTATAATATTGGATTGAACTTAATTATTCATTTGGTGATTATAAAATAAATCTATAAGCAGTCAACTCAGTCAACTCCGTTTAAACCAACCTATTCAGTCGTAGTCTGTTGATATCGTCATATTGGCCCGGATATAATTAGAATTTAAAAATAACATAAATAAGCGACCCGGATAATATTATTACCTATTAATTTATGTTTTTAATTTTGTTTTGTATTTGTACAAGGACGGTTTACTAATGAGACATGAGTTTTTAACTTTCAAGTTCAATTTTTCGAATATATTTAAATTTATTTATTTATCTAGATAAATTACGATAGATAACTTTTCTCACCAATGCACCAAATATACAAAATATGCTACTTCAAACCACTCATTTGAACAATTTTTTTTTTTACACAAAAAGTGTATTATTGATAATATCTTATGTATTTATGTGGGTTCAAATTAAAATGCTAAAATCAAGTATAGATATAAACCGTGTCCTGGATAAATGTCTATCTCCCAGCCTGCACATTTGGTCCCAACTCCGCCCCTAGTTACCTGCATCGTTTATTGCGCACATAATACCAAAAACCGTGTATCTTATAATCGCTATACAGGTACCTATTGAGTAAATACGCGTATAGGTAGTCTGTTCGTTACTAACTTTGAGTAACACGGGTCCATAAATTATTAACGGTTGGAAGTAATACGTATATTATATGTGCCTCGCTCGATGATTTATAGTTACGTTTAATATGGTCTGTTTCGGTATAGATATTTATAATATATAGTTGATCCTTGAGTTCAAAGAATGTTTGAAAGTTAAGACAAGTAAACAATTTGTCATCATTACGCGATACACCGGTAGATCTCGTTGTTGTTGTTAAATAATAATACTTGTACGATATTCTGTACACGTACAAACAATATAATAAACTATATACAATTCGTGTAATACGAAAAATAATAATAACCGTTTCTCTCTTCCAGTTTGTTGTAAGTATTAGAAAAAAAAACAAAAATCTTTGATACGTATGTTACAACTTCGGTAAGGTACTTCGAACAGTTACGGGTTTAACGAGAGATAATAATTTAGTAAGGACCTATTTTTTCTGAGAGGAGCTCAACATCTACGAAACAATAGTTTAAAAATGTATACCTAATACCTGGACATCAAAAATATTGAGGAATATTATCTCAAAACCGAGTATGTACATTTCATTTTTCTTTATTTTGGAAGCTCGATCCAGAATTTTTGATTTCTTTTTTTATTTCTGAGTTCTCTTGGTTACACGAAAAAAACCTACTTTAATAGTTGTCGTACACGTAACCAGTTCAGAATCATTCTGTACTAGTAATGATTTACCGTTACTCGAGTAGATATACAAACTAAATTACCCCATACCAAGGATGAGCATGATACTTTAAAATTAGTATTTAGATACTCGAAACTATACATTGATTTGCAGTGCCTATCTAGATACAATAAGACATTAAAATCTAGTGTCTACATCTTTTAAATCTTAAAATAGATGTAGAAATTCATAGGCGTGTACAGATATTGTTTGCAGGCGGTGCATTCCTCTACTACTCCCCCCCCCATACAAAGAGGTCCATCTACAGATATTTACTATCAGTGGTGAGGGGAAGATCAAGGGTTATATCTCCCAAATTGGCTTAAAAATACAAATAAAATACATATATTTCAGCCAAATTACAAGGAAAAGCTTGATATATTGATAACAAATTGGCTTTTTTAGGATTCGATTTTGAAATTACCAATTCCCATAGTCGAGTTGGGTAGAGAAGACGACTTAACAATTTATTCACAGTTATGATTTGTTACATCTCCTCCCATTAAAAATTCCTAGGCATGCCTTTGAAACTATAAAACTACATGCCCGACTCTATATTCTACTTTGTATGAGTTTCGAAAGACAAGTAGCTTGTAGGTTATTGAACAATGTTTACAATCTGTAATCGATATTATTGAAATAACGTGATAATAAATTCACAAACGCAGTTTTCACTACATCACATTATTCAATGTAAAAACCATTAGTTAAATATGATATATTTATAATTTTTTAATTAACTATTGACTATACTAACTATGAAATATAGATTATTATTATATTGGTGGTTATCAATAGTATTAATAACACCGGCTTTTAAACATTGACAAACCTGCAATGTGATATGACGGCTGGCTTCATGTATATGCTTTGAAACATATATTTAGGTAGTATAAATTTGTGGGTTCATCAAACAAATTTAACAAATTTAGGTTATTTTGTTCAGTTTGAGTTCGCAGATGGTGCACGTGCACACCCTACACTACCCGTGCGCACGCCTATGTAGAAAGTAGATGTTTCGTTTGTTAGTATTTTATTCTAAATTCCTATAGCTTTTTCCAAAGAATTGTTTAGCATATTTTTTTTTTGTATTGTTTTTTTTTTTTTAGTTAGGCAAATGCTCCAATTTTTTCACGCTGAACACCATAGAATACAAAGGAATGTGCGGTGGTAAACTATTTGAAAAAGATATTTAAAAGTGATTTTATACTGACAATTATTAAACTAGGTAACAATAACAATATGGATAAGTCGGTTTTATTTTTTTTTTGACTTATTTTCCTTGGCTACGGAACTAACACAACTAACACTGTTAACACTACTTCGC